ATCATATTAGTGACATTGGCAAATAGATATGGATTCGAATAAATCAATTAACAAAAATGTGTATATATATACATGGAATAATCAAGTATGAATCCATTTGATGGATGGTCAACTTTATAGAACAAAAACAAGGGGTTTAATGTACATTGTTTCCCCCTATCCCTAGATACTTTTTCAGATTTAATTTCCAGCTAATGAATTCATTTGACAAATGGTATGAAAAAAAAAAACAATTATTTCGGTAAGAAAATAAAGAATAAAATCATTTTTTTCGGTCCACAAGAGATATGTAAGCAGTTGTTAATAAAATTATTGCAGATGTTACAAAAAAAAAATATGTTGATAACATGTCTATTTTAACCATTTAGACATGTAAAGCTGTCATGATATCACAATTCATTTAGAAAATTGATGAAAAGTTTGGATTATTCATTTGATAGAAAATGTTAAGTTGTGGAGTCTAATCTCTCGGGTGATGTTGTGAATACACTACGATACGTTACTATATAAGTTTTGGTCTAGGAAAAATTAATTGACTACTTGGAATCGAATGAACCGATCAAATATGAGAATATTTGGTTCATCAAGACTGAATCCAGAAGTCAACAAAGCTGTCACGAACAGCTTCATGACGAGATCTTTAACGGACTTGCCATTCTTGTCAACTTCAGCTCTCTTCCTAAGCTCCTCCATGATACCATTGTCGGGGTTGATCTCCATTGTTTTCTTGCTCAACATGTAACCACTCATGCTGCTATCTCTCAACGCCTCTGTCTTCATAATCCTCTCCATGTTCGCAGTCCATCCGTATTCACCAGTTACTAGACAGCAAGGAGAGTCCACAATCCTGTCTGAGACCACAACCTTCTCAACTTTGTCTCCAAGAATTTCCTTAATCGTCTTGCAGAGATTCTCGAAAGATTCTTCCTTCTCTTCCCTCTTTTTTTTTCTCTTCTTCGGTCTCATCTTCAAGTTTCAGTCCTTCCTTTTCTTCTTCTCCTTCCTTCTCTTTGTCACTTCCAGCCTTGGCTTTTTTCTCTTTGTCAACCATCACTTCTCTGGTGGGCTCTGCTTTGTCTTTACCTTTCTCTTGAGAAGACTCAACGTGATCAACTTCAAACTTAGAATCCGCATAGAAAGTAGAACCACCACCAGGATTCTTAATCTCTCTCAAATGCTCCAAGTAATTATAACCGTCATCAAGATATCCTAACTCCAAAATCTCCTTCCTCATAGCCTTAATCCAAGACCTTCCTTGATAATCTTTCTCCTCTTTGCCATGGAATGTACTCTTATCTGCATAATGCTCCCCTTTGGCTTCACCTTGTTGTAAAGCAAGTACCAAAAACATGTTCTTTTGAGATTTATGGTATTTTTCTAGTAAGGCAACAAGTCGCTGCTTCCGCGCACGTTCATCCAAGACCTCAATGATTTGCGTAACGTCGTGGTTGGCGGCTAAGTCTACGGAGCCTATGATTACCTTGATTGGGTTTGGATCCATGAATTCCTGCGCCAATTTGTGAACATCCAAAGGCCAAGTTGCACTGAACATAACCATCTCACGAACTTTATTTGTCTTGCTCAATATAAACCGAACAGGTTCTTCGAAACTCATATCAAGCATTTGATCTGCTTCATCCAATACCACAAAGGAAACTTTCGAGGGACGAAGCTCATTAGACTCAATCAAGTCTCTCAAACGACCATGCATACCAATGACAATATCAACTCCAAATCGAATAGCATTTATTTGACGCCTTTTAGAGCTTCCACCATATACACATATTGATTTCACACCACAAGGTTCTCCAGCTTCACTCAAAACATCAGAAATCTGAACATCCAATTCTCGTGTAGGAGAAAGAACCAAACAAGTAGGATTGACATTCTTTGATCCTCCACCAATCTTCTTATTCTTCTTTAACACATGCATAATCGCAAGAATCCCAGAAGCCAATGTCTTACCTGACCCAGTTTTTGCAATCCCGATAAGATCACGACCATCTAACAAAACTGGCCACTTATGTGACTGAATCGGAGATGGCTTTTCTAAAACATTCTCCGTCAAATTCGATTCAGCAAAAGTCTTCAAAGTTGCGTACTTTTCTTCTTCCACATCTTTCCCAGTCATAACAACCTTCGGTTGCTCACTTTCTCCTCCATTGGTAACACTTAACTCCTCAGCTTCTAGCTTCTTCTCCAGGACATCCTTCTTCTTATTCTTCTCACTCAGTTTCTCCTCTCTCTTACTTTTATTCGTCTTCTTATTGGTCATCGGACTCTCAACGACTAAAGGTTCGCCGGAGATGGGAAGCTCTTGGAATTTTCTAGCCATCAGAATTCTCATGATAACCTTGTAGAGCCTATTTTTGGACCTTTTTGCTTTAATCAATAGCTTTTCGTCTCGGTCATACATAGTCAAGTAATCTTCTCGCATCCTCACATCGCAGCCCGACTCCGTAGCTTGGCCGAGACTCACAATATTGCTTCTCAAGTCCGGGATATAATATACATCGTGTAAAGCTCTCCTCTCTCCATTTTTTGTTACAAGCACAATTGAGCCTTTTCCTTTGATGTCAATTTGAGAATCATCACCAAACCTCACCTTTCCTGTGAATGATTCATCAAGCTTAGAGAAATAAGCTAAGGTTCCCGTCATATGGTTGCTAGCTCCATTATCCAAATACCACACATTCTCAACACCTGAACTTGTTTCAAATTTATTTGGAACTACATTCCTTTCATTCAAGTATACAACTTCATGTACCATTAGTGCATCGGCCTCTTGTGTGTCATCATTCTTGGTTTCTTGCGTTTCTTGGAGTTTAAGCAACCTGTCAGGGCAGTCCGATGCGTAATGTCCCAATTTGTCACACCTATAGCAAGTTATCTTGCTCGCGTCTCTGTATCCTTCATTATTCTGTTGGTAACCATTACCTTGCGAGTAACCAAAGCGACCTCTACCTCTTCCTCTTCGGCCACCTCTACCTCTATTTGCATACCAATTGTTTTGAAACGTTTGTGTTTCTGAATTAGCATACATGAGTTTTGATTGATCTTCTGGTGCATTCTCTGCAACAACAATCCTTTCTTCGTACGTTTTAAGTCTTCCTATAATGTCTTCAAAAGTGGTGGTATTAAGGTTTAATACCTGTTCTAATGAAGCCACTATATGAATAAACTTAGGAGGCAGACTGTTAAGAAACTTCTTAACCATCTTAGATTCCTCAATCTCTACTCCAAGAGAAGCAGATTTTGAAGATATCTCTGCCATCTTTCCTGCGAACTCATCTATTTTCTCTGTATCAGTCATCTTGAGTTTCTCAAAGTTAGCCATAAGTGTTTGTAGACGTGCTTCTTTGACTCGTTCAGCTCCCACATGTCTCGACTTTATAGCATCCCAAACTTTCTTTGCAGAATCCAAATCTCCTATCTGCAGAACAAGTGCCTCTGGTATTGACTGAAACAACAGCGCGATAGCCGTGTTGTTCTTCTTTTTGTCTACTACTTCTGCCTCTGTTTCAGGTTCAATAGCTTCCCATACCTCATGACATCTTAGTGCAGCTTTCATCCTCAGCGCCCATACGGTGTAGTTGGTGGTGTTCAGCATCGGACAAAGAATAGATGTAGACCCTCCTCCTTTCTTTGGATCTACGAGAACCAGTGCATCTTCCGCCATTGCTCCCAAGAAGATCGCAACGCTCTGATACCAATTATTGAATCAAACACAATATAAGAACAACTCTTTAAAGAATAACTCTCTTTATTAATCTCAAGAACTCAAACTCTCAAACTCTTTTTCTCAAAACCTTAAACACATAAAACTCTCTATCTCAATCTCATAAGCTATATCACAACTCGATATATGCTTATATAGCCACAACCTCTAAACCTAATCATAACTCAATTAGGATTACATAATATTCTCTAGATAACTCCTAAAGAATTAGTCTTTATCTCTTCAATAAACCGACATCTTGCGGTTTAAGTAACCTCCGGTTTAAGCCTCTTTCAAGCTTAAACCAACATATGAGCTATGAATATATTATATTTTCTTAAAAAATCTTAATTTTGACGTCAAACTAAATGATTAGATTTTTTGGCTCGATTTATATTTAGTCGGTATCTCTGCTCCACACAATTTTTGTTTTGATAAAAACAAAAAAAAAAGAGTAATTGAGACTTTCATTCTATGTGCTAAAATGGCTAGACTACGGTTTCATGCCACGATTGTGTTTCCTGTCATTTCCGAGTTGGATGGCCCCTAATGAACAATTAAAATTCAATGGATCTATATGGAGCCCGTGAACTATTTTTGTTTTTTTGCTTACTCAACTTGTGTAAAGAATTATATCTTGTTTATATATTATGTGTAGGTACATAGACTATGGAACAGTAGAATTTATGTGCATTTTTGGATTTGAATAGTGAAACACATTGGTAAACAATACTTTATAAAAAAAAACACATTGTGAATAATTTCTCGTGCAATGGACCAACTTGTAACAATGAAGTAAACTTTGTATTTTTTATTATTTTTTTTGAACAAAATAAACTTTGTATTTTTATACTTTCTGAAGTTACATGCAGTTTTTATTTTTTCATATGTGAAGAAAGCTTGAAGCTCCTTTTGTCGAACGTTTAATCATATTTCATATATATCTTTGCCAACTTCCCCTTAATTAGATAAGTTGTTCTTCGGAGTTGGGTACAATAGACCATATATATTGGCCCTGACACAATTTTTTAAATTTTATTTATTAAGAAACATATCTCCATACCACTTTAATTTGGTTCACATATATTTACTAAGAAATCTTAACATATTTTATGAGGATCTATTTAATTATCAGCAAATAAATAAAATAATCCACCGCACAACAAGACCTAAGTAATTAATGATACATATTTTTGTTAGGAAAGTAATGATAGATTTTGCCTTAGAATAATGCAAAGATATCTATAAGGACAAATGTCCTTGATGTAGGAGTTTAGCTGAGTTTTTTTTTTTTTTTTTGATAAAAAAAGTTTAGCTGTGTTTTATGACAAAAGACATGATTTGTAGGAATATAGAAGTTCTCTTCTCAAAAGATTTATCCGTACGAATACGATCCACACACGTTCTGACGTTCCCATATCTGCATGCATGGCAATACACAGCGAGACTAAATAGAGTCAAATGGATAGACAGCGAGAAGCTGGAACAATACAAAACGAAAGATTACACAAAAGAAATTAAAGAAGGCCATGCAAAAACCCTAGCTTAATTATAACAACAACGACATTAACAGAAAGCAACACTTGTTAAAACCCTAGATAATCAACAAACATGATCATTAAAAGTACCACATATATATTTAAATTATTACCAAAGCCTTTTAAACCCTTGATCGTACGTACATTTGTCAAAACAAGGGATGTTTTAGATCAAGTGAGAGGAGGGCAGACAAAACCAGGAGGAGGGTTGATCCCACAAGTGATGAGAGCTTGAAGTGCAAGAGGAATGAAGATGTTTAAGTTAAGAAGCTTAAGTCTTATGGTTGTGCAAAGACAAACGGCTGCTTCTAGCTCAAGTAACCCTTGCAACACTGGACAACACACATTCTCCACCGGATTTCCTAGCCCTATATGAATCAATCCTCCCAAAACGTCAACACAAGCTCCAAGCTTCAATGCGTTGATCGGACATGTTGGTTGTTTGCCGCCGCCTCCTCCTCCTCCGGAAGGTGGACCATACGATGGATAGCCGGAGGATGGTGGTGGGATTGTGACCGGAGGTGGGTTAATGATTGGAGGGAGAAGTCCTGGAGGAGTTGTGACCGGAGGGAGGAGTCCCGGAGGAGTTGTGACCGGAGGGAGGAGTCCCGGAGGAGTTGTGATCGGCGGGAGAAGTCCCGGAGGAGTTGTAACCGGCGGTGGTTGAATGGGAGGGATTATGATGGGAGGTCTTGTGATTGGCGGTGGCCTCACAATTGGTGGTGGATAGACAACCGGAGGAGGTCTTATGATTGGCGGTGGTCTCACCACTACCGGGGGAGGACTAACAACCGGCGGTGATTTCCCTCCTCCTCCTCCACCATGATGCGGCGGTCCCCCACCTTTTCCACCGTGGTGTGGGGGTTTACCACCACATTTTCCACCGTGATGTGGCGGCGGCTTGCTACCACCACCTCCACTGCCGCCTCCACCACCACCGTGGTGTGGAGGTTTAGGAACCGGAGGATGAGGACGAGTACAAGGAGTGCAAGCTTGGATCGTTGGAGGCAATGTGATGACCGTGAAGATCAAGACAACAAAGAAGGAAGCCAAAACTCTCGAACCCATTATCGTTATTAACTAGGGTTCTTGAAGTTTTCAAGAATCAAACTCTTAGTGCATTATTGTCAAATCCTTTGGGCAAGTAACATGTAACTATATAGGTGAAGCTTAAATGTGACCCGTGACTCTTGTATGGGTGTAAACCACTATATATATAAATAGGTATAGTGTTTATAAGTGCAATTGATGTTATTATTTGTAATGGTACGTACAAACGAACATGTGTAAGGCAAGAAAGTGAAGAAATAGAAAAATGTTCCAAACTTCGAGAAATATTGTAGCATTTTATTGCGTTACAACTAGAGATTTTTTGTATCGTTGTTGGTCCGATGCAAACTTCAAGGTCAAGCCCGTGACTAAAAGTATAAACAGATTATGATCACTGTCTCCGAACTAAAAGAGTCCGTGAAATTGTTTGTTCTCTCATGTATGTTACTTTTTTTTGCATGACATTTTCTTGAAACTTGAAAAGACTAGACAACAAACAGTGAAAGCTTCTTAATAACTTAGAGGGTTTCGTTGTCCGTACATTCTTAATAGTGAAAAGAACTTAAAAAGGAAGCAAAGCCATAAGGAAAGAATGGCACAATCGTAATTAATTGATTTAGATCAATATGGGCTTTAACATAATTTTGAACGATCAGGCTCAAAAGGCCCAAAAGGCCCAATACTTTGATCATGTCGGAATCTAAAACCCAGATGAAGAATTTCGTTTTCCCTCTCCAAAATCTTGTTCTTTGCGTTTTTTAGGGTTCTGAGATTTTGAGATTTGATCCTCGAATCGGAAGAGATTTGACTGGTTCTGACATGTATTCTCTGATACTCCATGGAAGAAGATCTACTGAGTTACATAAATGGCGTAACTTTAGTGTTTCAGTGAAGCTTTTGCAAAATGTATTCTCTGCTTTTTCCAATTCCTTCTCCTCTGCTGCTGATGTGAGCCTTAGAGATGGTCGAAAAGGTAAGAACTTTACAATCTCTTACCTTGTTGATTCATTGGGTTTACCTATAAAGCTCGCAGGATCGATTTCAAGGAAAGTCAGGTTTGAGAACAAGGCCAATCCCGATTCTGTTCTGAGTCTTCTGAGAAGTCATGGGTTCACAGATTCTCAGATCTCCACCATCATTACGGATTTTCCAACATTGCTTATATTAGATGCTGAGAAATCACTTGCTCCCAAGTTTCAGTTTTTGCAGTCCAGAGGAGCTTCAAGCTCTGAGCTCACTCAGATTGTTTCTACAGTTCCGGAAATCTTGGGAAAGAGAGGGGACAAAACTCTCAGCTTATGCTATGATTTCGTCAAAGAGAGTTTAGTAGCGGATAAGAGTTCCAAGTTGGAAAAGTTGTGTCATTCTTTGCCAGAGGGTAAGCAGGAGGATAAAATCAGAAATGTATCGGTTTTGAGAGAATTGGGCATGCCTCACAAGTTGTTATTCTCCTTGCTTACATCCGTTGGTCAACCTGTATGTGGAAAAGATAGATTTGATGCATCCCTCAAGAAGATAGTTGAGATGGGTTTTGATCCGACCACCGCAAAGTTTGTCAAAGCTCTATACGTTGTTTACAATTTGAGTGACAAAACAATAGAAGAAAAAGTCCATATTTACAAAAGGTTAGGCTTTGCTGTGGAAGATGTATGGGTAATCTTCAAGAAGTGGCCTTTCTCTTTGAAATTCTCAGAGGAAAAGATAACTCAGACGATTGAAACCTTGAAGATGTGTGGTTTGAACGAAAACGAGGTCCTTCAAGTATTGAAGAAGTATCCGCAGTTTATACGTATGTCACAGCAGAAGATATTGAACTTCATTGAAACATTTTTAAGTCTAGGATTCAGCAGAGATGAGTTTACGATGATAGTCAAGTGCTTTCCTATGTGCTTTGGATTGTCTGGAGAGACGGTGAAAAAGAAGACTGAGTTTGTGGTGAAGAAGACTAATTGGTCACTAAAGGACACTACTTCGTTCCCTCAGGTATTTGGATACAGCCTGGAGAAGAGGATTGTACCAAGGTGTAACGTAATCAAAGCACTCATGTCCAGAGGATTGCTTGGAAGCGAACTCCCTTCAATGGCGTCTGTCTTGGCATGTAACGATCATGCTTTTGTTAAAAGGTATGTGAGGAAGCAGAATGACAAGGAGCTTGTGGCTGAGTTGATGGCTATTTTCATTGGAAAGAAGAGAAACTTCCGATTGAAATCATTAAAGCACGATGATAAAGCTTCCGAATGAAATTAATAAAGGGTTTCTTAGTTCATACTTGTGCATTTCCTTTGTATCAGCTTTGAGAGAATTAGGTGTGCGTCAGCAGTTGTTGTTCTCCTTTCTTAACTTCGCTTAGACCTTAAATTCTAACATTAGTTGTTCCTAGGAGCAAATTATTTGAGTGTATGCAATTGGAGTCCAAAATTTTGTAATTTAAGAAACTGATAATGATTTCAAAAACCACCATTACCATATTGATCTCATTGTATTGATTCTCTTCATGTGAATTGTCGGATTCTCAGATCATAAGTCTAATATCAATCAAACTTTATATAACATAATGTATATCTTATTCAAAATGGTAACCATTGAAAATACTTAAGAGAATTTTAAAAAAAAAAAAACACAAAAGCAAGAAGAGTCATAGACTCAACAACAAAACAAGACACAAAGTACTTAAAAGTAACAAATAGTTTACTTGCTAACGTTTTTTTCTTCTTATGTCTTTCAAAAGACAGTTTTTTCCTTCGAATTTACTCATCAGCCTTCTCCACCGGAGCTGCGACGGCGGCTACTTCAGTGGGTTTCTCCTCCTCTGCTTCTGGCTTCTTCTCTTCCTCCACAACCACTGGAGCTTCCTCTGTCTTCTTTTCTTCTACTTCTTCCTCTTTCTTCGCCTCTACAACTTCCTCTGTTTTGCTCTCTTCCTCCACAACCGCCGGAGTTTCAACTGGAGCTTCTTCATCTTTCTTTATCTCCACAGCCGTCGGAGTGTCAACTAGAGCTTCCTCTGTTTCTTCGATCGGTTTCTCTGTTTCTACCAAGACCAAGTCATTAGTTGTTACTTCGACAGGCGCTTGAGATTCTGTTACCGGAGCTGGAAGAGACTCGGAGACGGCGGTGACCTCCTCCGACTCTACCGTCTTTGGTGGTGGCACCTCGATGTTCTCAGCTGCTACTGGAGTCACTTGTACAACCTACAAAAACCATTGTTTCAAAGTTCAAACATCAAAGCTTAGATCACATAGATGATAGATCAATTCAAAACTGCGTGACGTTTTTTTTTTTTATATACAAACGGCATGTAGTCTATTTTAGTTAGCCTTCAAGGCTTCAATTACATAATAAATTATATAAATCATTATATACATGCGTAACCTTTAGCATATAGGTGGATTAAAGCAAGTGAATACTTATAATCCGATTTTGATTTCTTGCTTGGATCGGTAATCAAACATTAGACTAACGAAAAATATTGGTTTTAAATTTAAAGAAATGCATACCTCGACGGTGGCCATTTGAATTAGTGGAAAGGAGTTAAAAGAACTGAGAAAATAAGAGAAGAGAAAGTGTGTGTGAGAGTGTTGTGTGATGCTTTTGTGAGTGAAGAGTTTGGTTGAGAAGATGGCTTAATTTATAGGAGAAACAATTACACCTTTATCAATTAAAAAAAAAACTTTAGAATCATTTTTTTAAAACAGAATGATTTCCTAAAAAAAAAAAATCACGTATTCTCTGGCAATAAATAATTAATGAGAAGAAAAGAAGCTTTTGTTGTATATTTGTTTAAAGAAACATCATGTACAGTTTGATTTAACCGTGCATTACAATTTTCATTATACCCAAAAAATCTAAAATTTATATTTTATAAAATTATATGAAAATTCATAACGCTAACTGTCTCGTTAGTTATTGATTATTCATAAGTGGTGTTGGAGATGAAAAAATATGTTTCATACTTTCATGAAACAATATAATGACATATTGACATAAGTACGAACAAAATTTTTGGGGTTAAAAGTATAATATAATGGCTACAATATATGAACATCGATCGTATTGGCTAAAATAGAATTGAACCTAATAGATAAATCTTTGTGCCAAGTAATTACGAATAACATTATTTCATGGTATATTAAATAATAGTACAAAAAATTTATGAACAATATCAAATCAGTTTCATCAATTCTTTTCTTCCTACTAATCAAAAATCATATCAGGATTTAATGTTTAACTACTTAGACTTATTTTTATAAAGAAACATCTTTTTATAGTCGTTATACAAGCGTCAGAGAAATTCTAACAAGATATATATATTTGTTCTATATTCTAACAAGATTATATTAAAACGATGTTTAAGACATTCATTATTTGTTCGTTTCTTTCTTCTTACTATTTTTATCATCAAATTTGTCACTTTAAAAAGTTGATCCCTCTGAAAAGAGTTTTGGTGAAATAGGTGGTTGGAAATTTTTATTATTCATAGAAGATTAGTTGATCATTTATAAAGTTGGTAATGTTATTAAGAATGTTGGTGTAACAGATAATAACTGTTTTAAGTTGGCTATATGTAGATCGATCATGTCTAAGTTAGAATTACATATTTCTTTTTGTTTAAGTTAGAATTACATATTTCTTTTTGTTTGAATTGAGATAGAATATGAGTGATAGAAAGTGTAAACAACTAACAAAATTACCCGATATCATAAAGCGATCCTCATTATAAACTCTAGCATTTGGACTTATGCGTTTGCTTAACATTGTACAAAGTAAATTATTTACTGATTCAGATAAGATATCACATGGAATGTAAAATCACAAAAGTATAGTACATACTTTATATCGAATATATGTTTGTATATATCCGGTGAAACATATGAATTGACCTCAATATATTCATAAGTCGGCATGCATGTAAATATTTGTGACAAGCCAAAAACTTCGGTGAGGTATTTGCTTTACAGATTATGATTTTCTTAACGAGGGAATATATGGAATCATTTACTGAAATCTGAATTTGTGTTGAAAATAACATTTTAGTGAATCTGAATCTTTTCGCATATAATTTCAAATAAATTTTTTTCTTTCTTTTATGTTTTACTAAAAGACCATTCACAAGTCGATATCTCAAAACAATTACTTGCTCAAGAGCATCTATAATCACCTAAAACTGTGTAATTCCGCTAAATAAGAAAATCGTTTAATTTCAACGCATATAAACAAATAATCTTTACGATTATGGACATTTAAGACTCAGACTCAACCGTTTATTCCACTTTTTAGAATATTCTCTATGATGAATATTTCATAACACAATAATTTTTTTTGCTAAATATGTAGCAATAATTTTTTCATTTGAATAAATATTTAATTAAACGCATTATTATAGGAATTTTTTTGTTGCTTTCTTTATTTTGGATCTTGAATTTTTATTTTCTTTTAGCTATCTATTTTTTTTTTACCCAACATTTATTTTAGGTCACTGCTTTTATTTTTTCTTATTTGTGTTTAATCTTTTCCATGCTAATAATCTACGTGGACTGTTGACGACAGTCGACAGGTAATAGGCCGGTGGGTAGGACCCATCAAAGTAAGAAATAATGACGTGGCGACAAGTCACTTGGATTGATTCAATGTTGCTGACACGTCACTGTTTGCCACGTAGGTCTCCACTTGCTCGTAGGCCCAAATATCTGCCGGTCTGATTTGCCACATCAGATCCAAATCCTAGCTTCGTTGTCTTCGTGTGGAACTTTCTCAAAATTATATATTTTATTTAATTTTTTTTCTTACGACATTTGATGCATAATTTTAGTTATATTCTATTTACGGTGATTATTAAGCAAAAAAGATGAACAGTAGATGAAAACTTGCAAAATAATAATATTTTTTTAGTTTTGTAAGAGAAAACCTTTATATCATCTATTAACAAAATACGAAAGTTTTTTATTTCAGAAATAATTTGTTATTTGACAAAAAAAAAAAATTATTTCACAAATGCCTATGTTCCTTTATCATCTTGGGTAAAAAATTGTTGATAACGTTTGATTTTTCGTAACACATCTCTATTACCGCCTTACCGGTAACTATCCAAAATCTTGAGTCCAAAAAGAAAATTAAAAATGGATATATTTCTCTCACTTAAGAAACTAAAAGAAGAAAAGAGTCAAATCTTAATCAGAATCATACTTGATTAATACGATGATAAATAATTTAAGTATTTTAAAAAGTTGAAAACGACTATCATAATAAAAAGGACGGATGATATTGTCTGCGCCACTGGAAAATGAAAAGTGTCAAATTTTATCAAACTTCTATCTATTTTTGAATTTGTTGTAACCAAATTGTTAATTTTGATTTCAACAAATGGGTATAGACTAGACACGTAATCACCATCTGTAAAGGTAGGCCAGCGGAAAAGCTGATTAAAGGAAAAAAGAGTTGGACGGCTAAAATGGCCCCATAACTATTTTATATTTCATGAAAACATCAATATTTCATCAAAGTATCGTTATGGAGATGAAGAACCTTCTCAAAGTTTTGTTTTTCTTGTTCGTTTACTTGACGTGTTCTATGGCTATGGTACCATATCGTGGTTGTGACGTTATTGGAGTAGATTTGGGAGATGGATCGGGCAAGTACGAGAAGAGAGTCTCCAAAGAGGGTTTTTTGTCGGGTCGTAAGTTAGTTTCTGGTCCGAGTCGTAGTTCTTGTGGTCACTAATTGTCGGAAAAGTAAGTTTAGTAATAATAAGAACTTTATTATGTTAGTTCTCTTGTTTATGTCTCTTCCTTTAGAGACCTATGAATATTATAATGAGTTTTAACGATGTGCCTAATGAAATGAATGGCTTGCAAGTTGCAATATGAATTTGTTTTGTTTTGAATGTTTTATAACTAACTGAATATACATGACTTATAAGCTTATAGCGGATTTGAAGAATCTTATAGGAATTGAATTTGTAAACTCGTCAAAAACAAACCATCCTTTTGTGAAAAAAATTGGGAGCTACCTATCTACATTCCACATTATTTATTTGTAGTTTTAATGACACTAGATAAGGTAACTATTTTACTATATATTGGTATTAGTTTAATTTGGTTCTTAAGTATTAAGTTTATATATCACATTCTAAATTACATATAGATCAACTAAATTTGTAATTATTGTATTATTTCTTTGTTTTTTGTAAAATCCGTAGGTCATGTATATTAGGGTTTTGTGCAAAAATAAACTTTCTAACTCGTCCATTTTTGCATATTTACCATTCATCTCCGAAAAATACAGATTAATCCTACGAAGTCTAAATAATACGTAATATAACCTTTATTCGCTACCGTCAAGTTCGTTCAAGTTCGTAAAATTTTGACAAATAATATGTCAAATCGAAGCACTCGCGATGAAGAGTTCAACTCTACATTTAGAATTTTTAAAAACTAATGTATGTAACCGGAAAAACGTTTACAAGATATGTATAAATATTATATTGCGTATTATTTTGGTCTTCGTAGGATTAATCTGCATTTTTCAGAGATAAATGGTAAAGTTACAAAAATAGGCAAATTAGAGGGTTTTTTTTTTTGCACAAAACCATGTATATTATGTACACATCACCAATTTAATTAGTTTTTATTACTATGAATCACAAATTTTGTATATTGTATATTTTGGTTAGATAAATTTTTTAATATTCATAAAAAGGTAGGTCCTCTCTTATACTTTAACTTTAAATTAGAATTTTTCATTCAGATCTTACAACAAAGATAAAGCTTGAAATAATTCGCTTTTTTATTTTATTTTTTTGCATCGGAATTATGTTAGACGACCCCATGCAGGCATGCCTTGAACATGTGTAATCCTAAAGTCGAACAATCTTAAGTATAATTGTCTCCTAGTAGCTGTGTTAGAGCATGATTATTGGTAGTATCTTAGAAATACCTCTTAGCAATATTTAAATAATATATGTATATAAGTGATTGTGAAGAGATAGTATTTTTGAGTTAAGATTTTTGTGTTAAGATTTTTGTGTTATTAATGGTAGGCTCTTAACATGTGGTTCTTAGAAAAAAAAAATTAACATAAAATTAAAATTTATAATTATAGAAAATTTAATAATGGTTGCAAAATAAAAAAAATTAAAACATTCATGAAATACAATGTATAACATAAATAACAAAAAACATAAATGTTTTAAATTTAATTTCTGAAATATTTTGTCCATATATGCTCTTAGCTAAGGAACGTTTTTTAACATTAAAAGTTAAAACATAAAGGTGATTAAATTATATTGTATTAAATGTTAAGAAAAGCTTAAGATTTTTATAAAAGCTTGCCTTTAATCATGCTCTAATTCTTAGCCGTTCATTTTAAACACCAATTCGGATGAGCGGTGACAGATCTATCAGCTGTCAATTACTCATTCGTTGGCCACATGTTAAGATTGATCCTTTGCCCAAAAAAAAAAAAAAAGTTAAGATTGATCCTATAAGTTCTCATTGACCCCACCAGAATAGACTCTCTTTGTCACCAAATAGTTGGGCACCACCGCTAAACCAAAGATCCAATCTATTTTCATAATTTTTGTTTCCAACTTCTGCTCGAATCTTATCTATTACCTATTGTTTTTTTTTTGGTGTGATCTATTACCTATTGTTTTGTTAAATGTTAATGCTAACCTAATATCGAATGTTAAAAAGAAGAAGCTAATTTCATATCTATTTTTAATATGGTTTAAGTGTCTAATATATATTTTGTTACAAGAATCGTATGGATGAGTGAAACAAACGGTGTGATCGATGTCGTTGATGTAGAATAAATAGTGCAATACAACATTAAATAGTAAATAAAGCAAAAAAAATTACTTCAGCCTGTTGTAGTCATTGAATAGTGAAGTGCGGTTTTAGGATAAAATTATTTAAATCACAGTTCTTAAAGTATTGCAACATTGTCGGTGAATATCCTAATTTTTGGATGATGTGTAAACATAACATACAGTTTAACCAGAACCTTCAAATATTGTCAAAAAAAAAAAAAAAACCAGAACCTTCAAACAAACAAAAAAAAAATATTAAAGATGTGATCTGGACATATTTACCAATATGTTGTGGACCGGTAACAAAAATGTTCTCTTTTTTTTCTCTCTCCACAAGAGAGTTTTTAAACGTTCTAAATATATATATTTTAACCATTCATACCCATAATATTTTTCTATTTTAGACATAAATATCGAATAAAATCTATGACTATAAATCTATAATATACGATCAAGATTTATTAAAATTTACTTTTTTTATAATGTACCATATTTTTTTTTATAAACACAATCCTACGATTCACAGTTGACAATTTTTAATGTCTATACATAACTTTTTACAAATTAATATTTGAAACATTGATTATTTATACATGAGCTTTGACATCCTCTTTTTTTTTTTTTTTTAATATATAACTGGAGATTCCGAACCAAACTTACTAATCCCCATAGTTTGTTAAAAACCGGATATTAATGTAATTTAAAAATATGTAGACAATGGATCAGAAGTATATCTGCAGACGTTCTGGCACTTTTCGGAGTTGTCATTTATGAATTCCTTTTCTAAAGCCAAATATGTTGTTTATTTTGCTTCATTCACATCAAATTTGGCAACTAAAATGGTCCCTATCGAAAAGTATTTCATTTAATTGTTATATACAACTTTACAATACATAATTAGAAATAAAGAAAAACTTTTTACAATTCATAGATATACACATGCACATGTACACAAGCTGGTGACATGATTTTGAATTCTTATGTTCTAGAACAACGAATTCTAGGCAAGTTTTTTGGGGATGTTCAAAATTTTGACGAAAAAGATATTAATTAATTATAGAAAAAAGACCATACGCATGAAATTTCAGCATCCAGTAAGTATAGTTTGTGTCTGGATTATTAATAAAATCTCAGTGTGTTTAATATGAGCACTCAAGAAATTTTCTAAACTTTCGAACATAACAAACCGACCATCAAACAAAAACTATACCTAATACCTTCTAACTTAACTATAGTAAACCCAGAGATTTAAGGTCATCTATTGAGATAAATATTTTCAATCACACTAATTGTGAAACTGCAAACCTCACAAGGCCACTATTGGGTTAAGGAAACTGATAATAATAGCCCAACTAGACGAATTAATTCTTAGGAGCTAGGTATATCCCCTTTTATAGTTTTTGTTAAAATCCTCTTTATAGTCTCCAATAAGTCAAATTAATTGCCATGTATTTAGCTATTGAGCCTACAAATATATGTGCATTGTAGAATACGTATATATTTAGACAATTTTGATTTGTTAGTGAGATTTACAAGATTATAGGATCACCACATGACCATTTCTTCAAGCTCCAAATATAAACATTGCTCAACAAAAACACACCAAAAATCTCTTTCTCTCCCTCCCTCTTTTCTATAGTCATCATAGAATTCTAATCCAATCTAACGGTTGAAATTGTGTAAGATCTTATTAGATCAACAAGAACATTGTTTTCTTTGGTTAGAGGAAAGAAAATTAAGATGGTTTTGGAAGATGAGAAGAAGAAAGGAGAAGCGTCAGGAGAGACATCAGAGAAAATTGGGTTAAGCAGAAAGAACAGTGAGAGCTCTTTGTCTCCAACAGAGGATGATGAAGAAGATGATGACAAGAAGCTCGAACTCGGTCCCATGATCGCTCTCAAAGAACAACTCGAAAAAGACAAGGTCGTATTACTTTATATATATATGAAATTATTTAAACTATACCAGATTATGGATGATAAAAAAATGTTTGTAATTTATTCTTGCCATATTAATGTATGAATTTGGTGAAATTAAATATTATAATAGATTATAAAGTTAAGAATAACAATCTGATTTTTCTTGCGCAAAATGGAAAATTAAGGCTTTGATAATAATCTAATAAATTTTCGATATTTCTTATTTGCAACGAAAATTTGATAGGATGATGAAAGCCTGAGGAGATGGAAGGAACAGCTTCTTGGCGTTGTGGATTTGGAGGATGTCGGAGGTAAACCAAATTCATAACTTGCTTTAGATTTCATGATTTGCAAAAATGGTTTTAGAATATCGATTAAGACTCAAATGTGTTTAGTTCTAATGATGAAAAGATTATAACGGTCTCACTAGTTTGGTTCAAATAAAGTATTATGTACGAGAGGGACGAATCATGCATGGTAGTTAAAGGACATTTTGGCTTATTGCCTTAGTCTCGGTTAAAAGAAGGAAAAAAAAAACGGACACAAAATACAAAACTATTAAATCATTTTATCGAAGGAAAACCTTGAAATGTTATTTAACATACAATTAATTATAATTGAAATGCAGAGACACCGGATCCAGTAGTAAAGATACTAGATCTCACAATTAGATCACCGGACAGAGAGGAAATGGTATTGACAATACCCGATGATGGGTTACCAAACCCGAAAGGCCCTTGGTTTACGATTAAAGGAAGGTTCTAAATACACACTTGTCTTCAACTTCCGTGTCACAAACAATATCGTTTCGGGCCTTCGCTATAACAATACCGTATGGAAAACTGGTGTTAAAGGTACTTTATCTTTCGTGTGTTTCTCCTTCATTTTTAAAACGTTTTGAATGTTCTCTTTTGATCATGTTCAGTCTTTTTTTTTCCTTTTGAGCAGTGGATAGTACGAAAGCAATGCTTGGGACGTTTAGTCCTCAAGCTGAGCCTTACCAACATGTAATGCCTGAAGAAATGACACCGTCTGGTATGTTTGCTAGAGGATCCTATTCCGCAAGAACTAAGGTAATATCATTTAATCTACATGAGAACTTTTTTTGCAGAAATTGATCAGTTTGTTATAAATATTTTCTTTTCATAACCAATTATTTAGTTGTTTTTCACTGAACTTGATGAGTTTGATATCATCTACATATTTCAGTTTGTCGATGACGATAACAAATGCTACTTGGAGATCAACTACACCTTTGACATCCGCAAGAGTTGGCAATGATCCACCGTATATACATTCTCCAAAGTCTAAACCAAAGCTCATTTGAATATTTGATAATATATACTATATTTTTATCAATCTTCATTCGATTTTGTGGACTAGAAAATTGATTTAGCTTTTGATTAAATGAGCATAACTAAATAAGAGACCGTTTGTGTATTTATGAAATTTTCTCTTCACTTTTCTTGTGACCTTTCTATCTTTTAGAGTTTCTTTTTGGGCACTTTTAATTTGAATGTAGGTAAGATAACGGTCACAAACATAAACACTATCGACTAAGCAATCGCGATAAAGATGAGAGATTGTTTGAAATCGTGAACTTCTAAAGCGAGAAGAGGCTTTTGTGGAAGGAAAGTATATTTAATTATTTATATATTGTAGAAAAAAATACATATAAAAGATTGGGTAACCAATAAGAAAATAAGTGAAACTATATACTCCATATTCTCTGTTTAATCAAGAAATAAAAGAACAAAGTATTCATCGGAAAAAAAATAACTCGAATGTCTTGTATCAACCAAAAGACACAAATAGGTTCGAAGCCAAAAGAATTTTGATCAATGTGAGTATGTGACTAGTGTCCGTGTTAACCACTAGTTTAAATGCATGGTTTAAACTTAGTAGTATGGGATTGATGGTGGAGGAGGGGACGCATAAGAGACACCGCGGATTGGCGGAAGAGGTGTGTCCTCGTAGGATGGAGGCGGCGGAGAAGGTGGTGTTGGTGTTTGGTAGTGATGACTGTCGTTGCATCCCTTTTGTGGTGGTGATTGATACTCCAGTGGTGGTGGAGACTGGTTTGGGCTTGCCGGTGGATGGTACTCAACTGGTGGTGGCGGTGGAGGTGGGCTTTGTGTTACTGGTGGATAGTAGACCGGTGGTGGCGGTGGAGGGGTTTGTGTTACCGGTGGATAGTAGACCGGTGCTGGCGGTGGAGGGCTTTGTGTTACCGGTGGATAGTAGACTGGTGGTGGTGGTGGAGGGCTTTGTGTTACTGGAGGATAATAAACTGGTGGGGGAGGTGGACTTTGTGTAACTGGTGGATAGTAGACCGGTGGTGGTGGTGGACTTTGTGTTACCGGGGCATAGTAAACCGGTGGTGGTGGTGGAGGACTTTGAGTAATAGGTGAATAGTAAAACGGTGAAGGAGGAGAAGATTGTGTAACCGGTCTATAGTAGACCGGTGGCGGTTGCCGGTGGAGATTGAGCGGCTGTAGTAAGTAGGCGGTGGCCTTGAAGATGTGTATTGGTAGTAAGGTGGTGAAGGTGATGGATAGTATTCCCTAGGTGAAGGAGGTTGCTCATATATTGGAGGTGGTGGCGGTGGGGGACTTTGTGTTGTGGGTGGACAGTTAACTACGGGCGGAGGTGGTGGAGGAGATGAGTAGATGTATGGTGGAGGAGGAGATGGTGACGGCGGAGGAGGAGATGAGTAGATGTATGGTGGAGGAGGAGATGGTGGTGGTGGAGGGTATGCTCTAACGGAAGGTGACATTCCGGAAGAAGGAGGAGGTGGAGATGGCTCATACTTTGGCGGTGGCGGGGGAGGAGGATAGGCCTTGACGGAAGGCGACATCTTGGAAGAAGGCGGTGGCGGAGTTGCTCTAAAAGTAGGTGACATCTTAGAAGAAGGCGGTGGCGGAGTTGCTCTAAAAGTAGGAGACATCTTAGAAGACGGCGGTGGCGGAGTTGCTCTAAATGTAGGCGACATCTTGGAAGACGGAGGCGGTGGAGGAAGTACTCGGACGGTGGGTGACATCTTAAAAGACGGTGGTGGTGGAGAGAAAAAGTTGTTGCATCCAAATTTAGTACAATCAACAGGGCGTGAGGCTGGAGAAGAACATTCTTTAGACGATCTTTGACGTTCTTTACCAGCAATACAATTCATCGATCCATCAACCGCCACATTGTCTCCCGAAAGAGCCGCACATCTCGGAGCATCACCAGTGAAGAAGTTGGAAGAGTAAGTGAAGTTCTCAAGGTTAGAGAGCTGACAAATGCTGCTTGGAATAACTCCTGTGAATCTATTGTTAGCAACATTGAGCTGTTCCAAGCTCTTCATGTTTCCAATGCTTGACGGCAATGGACCGCTTAAACGGTTGAAACTGACGTCGAAAACCGTCACATTCTTGAGATTCCCAATCTGCGGTGGTAAGCAACCGGTTAAGTTATCGTTAGAGAGGATGATCTCGTTAAGAGTCTTTCCCATTAAACCAATACTTCCCGGAATGCAACCTCCAAGATCATTATCCGCAAGAACAAGAGCAGAAACCGGAGAGTTTCCCATGTTTTCGGGTATTCCAAACCGAAACCGGTTATGATTCAAGAATATTGCGTCAAGCTCTTTATCGAATAGCTTCGAAGGGATACCACCTTCAAACTCGTTGTACCGAAGATCCAAGAACTTGAGGGAAGGCAAAGACAAGACAACATTAGGGAACTTCCCAACAAAACGATTGTTACTTAAATCAAGCTCGAAGAGAAGCTTCATGTTTTTAAAGGTGATAGGAACTTCACCACAGAAGCGGTTTGAGTTGAGATGAAAGAGAGCAAGATCAGTGAGAAGACCAAGCTCACGAGGTAAATAACCAGCCATGTCCGCATGGTTAAGGTCAATACCCGCAACAACTCGAGTTTTCGGACTAGAAGGAGAAGGAGAACAGAAGATACCGTTGTAGGAACAAACATCAGAGCCATTCCAATTGGCAGTGAAGTTAAAAGGATCAGAGAAAATAGCTTGTTTCCATGATTGAAGAGCAATGTAGGCTTGTCGAAGACTCGGGTTTTCGAACTTGAGACTCGGGTCGACTTTGATATCATCACCGCTTATATCATCATCATCATCAGCTCCTCTAATTTGCAAGAAACAAGAGGAGTACAAGAGGAAGAGAAAGAAGAAGAGACGCAGAGAAGTAGAAGGAAACAACAACATTTTTTTCTTAGTTTCAAAGAGTTTGAGAAAAATTGAAAATTTTGAGAGGTTTTTGTTGAGAGAAAATATAATTTAGCACATGGTAAAAGAGACCCCACCTCACTAATTGTGACATCTAAGAACTCCCATGTGCTTCTTTATAAAAAATAACACTCAGAGAAGTCGTATCTAATATTGTTATAAAAGTATCAATCAATTTTGTGTTATAGTTGTATATAACATATCGATAGGCACGTCGAAGGAGGAGACAAAAGACTGACCTTTAATTACGCGGCCATAGATTGGAGCCACCGTCACCGACTTTAACTCTATATATAAACTTGGATACATGTCCCTAAAGATTCTCTAATATCGTCAATAACCTATATAAAAATAAAACGCGTTAACCAATAATTCAAATAATATGGTTTTTAAATAACTCAAAAGGACATGAGTGCACATCTGTATGTTATAACTTTGATGCATGTCTGTCACAAACAATTAAAGGTATAAGCGGCTGTGTTAAGGTATGGCAATATGACCTTACTCAATCCTTACATTTGTTTTCGCCATCCTTGTTTCATTCTACATTACTAATATCTCAAACAACATCGGATAATGACGAATCAGAGTATTATAAACCAAAAAGATTCAATGCTAATATAGAGACCAGAGCATTGTTCCACTACTTAAAACTCATAATTCAAAACCAAGCTTATATTGTTTACAGCAAACTAAAAACCTCCAAGAACAATCATACCAAAACCATACAAGATTTGGTAATCGCGGGCGAAAAACAAACAATCAAGATTGGTCTCTTACTCTTGTCAAAATTCTCTCTTGGTGACTGCATTAGCCAAAGTTTTATTTTTCGTCATATTTTTCTTACACTAGCAGACTTCACTTAAATCTGTAAAAGTATGGGAAAATTGTAAAAAGAAAATAGCCTATTGAAATTTTATTTCACAAAAACTAGAAAGAAATAAGGTCTACTTTTTTTTTTTGATAAAGACAAAAATTGTATTTTTAAATCCAAATTTGAATTGCGTATATTAACCTCCAACTACCAAAATTAAATGACTAACGTTGATAAACTCTTTACAATATTTTAAAATTATCTTTACTAGAGACAATTTTAACAGGGGATTGGTTTATGATTTAAAAGAAAAGAAAAAAACTAAAGTAATACATGATTATGTATTTATGCTCTGTCAGATAATTTAATTTTTCGTTTCTCAAGTCAGATAATTTAATTAAAATATTTCCTACTAAAGTGATAAGATTATATAATATTTGGGAGACAATTTATCGAATTAAACAGGCCGAGACAGATAAGGCCCATGTGCCCTGAGATCATTTGGTTCCTTTCTCTTTTTATTTTCAATAAACAAAAAGAGCCACAAAATGAATGATACAGATACTGATTAGGGGGTTTGCGCAAAAAAAATAAAAAAATTGATTAGGGGATATCAAAATATTCAATCTTCATTTCATTGCTCAAAGAATGTCACAAAAACTGAAAATAGTATTTAATATTTAATATATACACAATGCCAAGTGAATGAATTCTCAGCAAATATTAGAAAAGAAAATGCGTAATTTCCTATCGATTAGCATTCATTCTCTAATTTTCTAAACTATGCAAATTGCTTAGAAACCGGTTTTGTTTTTTCTCGTTTTCTCTTATTTCTCGTAATTTAAATTTTGCTCCAATAGAACTTGTTTATGAGCTTAATGAAGATGTAGATGCAGTCTGATGAAGTTGTTGAATGAGTCAAGAAGTAATACAAGATTTTGTCTGATGGAGTTTTTGAATGATTCAAGAAGTATGTCAAGATGCGACTGTTTTTGTGTGAGTGTCGGTTTCTAGAAGGTTTGAGAAGATGTGTTTGGAGCGTGTTTAGAGGATGAATCACAAAGGAAAAAGGACTTAAAGAGATTTGGAAGACTTGATGAAAGTGGAGTTTGAAGAGAAAAAAGAAAAGTATAAAAGGAAATTTACTTTTTCTTATGGAAATTGAAAATCTTCTCCTATGGTGATTAGGAAATCGTTTTGGCTATATAAGGAGGAGCTGGGGACGTCTTGGAGAGGCAAGAGAGCTGAGGCATAGAGACAAATCATTGAGAGCTTTCTAAGGGTGTGTGCGACATAGTTTCGCGGTTTTGTGCAACTTAGTTTTGCGGGTTTGTGCTTGTGTGATCAAGTGGTTTTGTTTTTGAAGTAGTTTTGACCATATTGAGAATTATTCAGGGGGAGAATGATGATGTGTTTCATGATGTTGTTTTGGAGTTAGAACTGTTGAGTTCACAAACATAGTCAAAAAGGGGGAGAATGAAGATGTAGATGCAGTCTGATGAAGTTGTTGAATGAGTCAAGAAGTAATACAAGATTTTGTCTGATGGAGTTTCTGAATGATTCAAGAAGTATGTCAAGATGCGACTGTTTTTGTGTGAGTGTCGGTTTCTAGAAGGTTTGAGAAGATGTGTTTGGAGCGTGTTTAGAGGATGAATCACAAAGGAAAAAGGACTTAAAGAGATTTGGAAGACTTGATGAAAGTGGAGTTTGAAGAGAAAAAGGAAAAGTATAAAAGGAAATTTACTTTTTCTTATGGAAATTGGAAATCTTCTCCTATGGTGATTAGGAAATCGTTTTGGCTATATAAGGAGGAGCTGAGGACGTCTTGGAGAGGCAAGAGAGCTGAGGCATAGAGACAAATCATTGAGAGCTTTCTAAGGGCGTGTGCGACATAGTTTCGCGGTTTTGTGCAACTTAGTTTTGCGGGTTTGTGCTTGTGTGATCAAGTGGTTTTGTTTTTGAAGTCTAGGCTCAAGGGGAGTTTAGCTCAGGGTTAGGTTATCCTGATTAAATCTAGACTCAAGGGGAGTTTAGTTAAGGGTAGAGATTATCCTTAAGGTTTCACGTTATAGAAGGGAGCGGTAAATCAAGAGGGTTGGGCTTGTTTTACGCGTTTGCGAATTGGTTGTAATTTGCTTTCTTGTTCTAGTGAAATCGAAATCTGGACTTGGTCCCGGGGAGTAGGAAAAACCGAACCTCGTTAACAAATTTCTTGTCTCGTTTACTTTCCGTAATTTATCTTACCTCATCCGCACTTACACTTATGTCCTATATCTTTTAGGAGTTTATTAGGTAAATGACAATTGAAAATTATCTACATTGGTAAAGTGACAATGGAACTTAGTTAGTTTTAGAGTCATGTTGGCGGCGGAAGAGTGTTTTATGATAAGCTTTAGGCCTAAGATTAGTAGATCTCTTTAAAACTACGAAATCTTGGTGAAGATTGTATGCTATAAGTGTGTGTACTATTATTTCGAACAAAGTGAGAATGTCTAAGTGTGGCCAAGTAGCTGCATTAAATGTTAAACAGTTAATTAAAGACACATTCATCATTTTAAAGGGATTTTACAATGAATATAGAAAGGAAATAGCTCTCATTCGATGATATAGGTTTTTATGGCATAGCTACGTGAAAACATAATAGATAAGTTAACTTTGTGCATCATTGTTTGAACGAATGATGTGAATATTAGAGAAGGATATGACGACTATACAAAAAGATTTGGTTTCCGCGAGATATATGATATACAATTCAGTTTTTAATTTGAATATTACACATTTTTTCTTCAAGATTATGTTTTATATAAGGGAAATTGCACAATCTATACTCAGAAGAATTGATAATTAACTGACAGAAAAAAAACACTGTTGTCTTCTACTGTTTTAATTTTATGACAATTATGCCCCTAATTTATATTAAACTAAGAATTGAAATCCTGCAGAAAATTAAATCGAGCAAATAGAGATGCGGCGGTGACGATTCGTCGATGCTCTCTAATCACGACGATCTACACGAGATAACACATCCACTCATCGGCAACATCATCGTAATGCCGCCGTGCTCATTCCGGTTCGTCGAGTCGTGACAAGCAATTTTTTTAGTTCTCGTCAGTGAATGTAATTGTAGTGATGGTGGCTATGATATCGGCGAAGAGTTTTACAGTGGTGCCACCGCTAGAACACTACTCCGACGCTATGATTCTTCAATTGTTTTGTTTCATGATTTGGAGAAAAGTATTCGAAAAGAAGGAGAAGAAAAGTGGTTCAATTTTCTCTCATAATTGTAAGTGGTGCTCATTCTTATTTAAATTTTTGGGTTCTCAACGATAGTAGAAATGGTATTTAGTATTTACGACGATAGTGATGATGGTGAGTTTGGAAAAAAGAAGGTGATGTGAATGAAATCATGGATTGAGATGGCGTCGGAGAGGTGCGACAAGCTAAATGATTTTATGGTGATGTCGTCGGTGAAGGTGAGATGGCTTAAGAGTTTTATAAGCACCGCCGTTTTCTCCGTATATCTCGTCGGTGAGCAGATCTAAAACAATACTTGTTATTTTTCGTTGCAAGTTATTTTCATCGTTATCACGTTAACCTCGTTATTGATTATTTTTGGTGAATATTATATATAAATTACACGTTAAAATAAATATTATCCATATATCGTGTATCTTACCGTGTTTATACTAATATTATTCCGATATTTAATATGTTAGCATGTTATTATTCTATATAACATGTTGTTATAATTGTTATCATGTTAATTATGTAAGAAAAAGTCTAATTCTTTTTTATTGTGCTGATATATACATAAAAAAAAAAATACTGATTCACAATTTTAAATCGATAAACATTTTTCTAACATTTAATTTTTACACTTATCGGGATATCATATTTTTTAGCACGTTAAACAAATAGTTATATATTTATCGTCCGCATATTACAATTATTTTTAATCAATGACATTTTTGTAATTAATTCAAAAAGGAAGGATATTTTTGGTTTATATTTTATTTCTCTTTCATATTTACCTAAATAACATATCTTTATGTATAGATTCTTAATTTCTTCATCCTCTAGGTATATATATTTCATTCACCCATTATATAAAGCACGTAGCAACTATTTGAAGATATCAAAGAGAATGTCAACGTTCTTACTTGTAAACTTTTAAAATTATACATCAATAATCTTATTATACACTTACATTTTTATTATGACAACATAGAATATAATTACACCTAAGAAACCTAAAAGCTTAAAATTGTTAGAGACTATGAAATGGTTGAAGTGGACACAAGATCATAGGTATGTTAAGACATATATGATTTTTTTCTTTTTAAAGATCCTAAATCAATCCAAAAACTAGCTCAAAAATTAAAAATTAATAACATCTTTTATATATTACCCAGTGTTCTAAAAAGCAGTCTAGGCGGTCGCCTAGGCCCCGACTAGGCGTTAGGCTCTCATGCGACGCCTAGATAACCGCCTTGACCGTCTAAAATTATATAGATCTTGTTTAATGTATTTTTCAATTTCAATTAGAGTTTTATTTATATATATAGTTATAAATATTCATATATTGTTTAATATAAATATAAATAAATATTTTATCTAATTTTTATTTATAATTTCATAATTTTTAGTTTTATATAGATATTTTATATAACTTTTATATATAATATCATATTGATAATGTTTTATGTTATAAACGTCCAAACCGCCTAAAAAATCGTCTAGGCCCCGATTAGGCGTTCTAGGCGCTAGGCACTGGGTCACCGCCCGCTTAGCGCCTAGCGCTTTCTTGAACACGGATATTACCCAATGATCATTATCCCAAACAACGGGTGACATTTGAGTATAAATCTTCTTTCTTATCATTTTTCATCGATAGTTTTACAAAAAAGCCAAATATACTAACAACAAATAAAATATCAGAAATGTGACCAAAACAAAAAAAAAATTCCATTTGAAGAAAAAAGAAAACAGAATGAATAATTCGTTTTCTTTCTTTTGTTATATATTTTTTTTATTAATCCTCGTGCTTGCTCTCTCTTCCAGAGAAAAAGGGGCCAAAAAAAAAAAAAAAAATTCGATTCCTGATATTTTCTGCTTCGCTTTGCTTTTTCTCTTCACAATAATATTCGTTTTCCTCTCCTCGTTCTCGTCGCTGTTTCTTTCCGATCTTCGCTTCAGAACAAAGCTAATATTTTCTGGATTCAAAATCTCTCTTCCTCATTAGGTATGCGCGACAAAAAAATCAAACATTTTCTTGTTACTTAATTCTCAAATTCGTCACTTCACTGTTCATGCTTAATTTAAGTATCAAGTTTATCGTCTTGGGTTTTGATGAGGAACCGATTAAATCTGAGGTTAATTGGAGACAAATTCTCTTCTGGGCACAACCAAATAATCGTTAGATTGTTAATTAAAGTGATTGAGAATCACTGATAGGGTTTTAGTCAAAATTCCTAATTTCAAGTTGTTGTTTTGGTACAGATGTTATCTTCTTGATTTTTTGCAAAAATCAAAACTTTAAAGAGCTATGGAAGAGGAGAATGTTACTAGTTCACCTTCAACACCGGTACATAGGCTTAGACATCGAAGACGTTCTAATGAGGTTTGTTTTGTTTTCTTCTTACTTTCATTGAAAACATTTTGAAGTAAGGTTTTTACTTAGTGTTGCTTTGTGTTAGGTTGTTATGGATGGGGATAGAGTGAATGCAAGTCCTTTGTTGGTTAATGATCGAAATAAGTACAAATCTTTCATGGTCCGGACTTACTCGACTTTATGGATGATTGGTGGTTTTGTTTTGGTTGTCTACATGGGTCATCTCTATATCACAGCTATGGTTGTTGTTATTCAAATTTTTATGGCTAAAGAGTTGTTTAATCTGCTGAGGAAAGCACCTGAGGATAAATGTCTCCCCTGGATTAAACAGCTTAATTGGTAAGCTTTTTTATCTTCTAGTTAAAAAAAAGCTATTGGCTCAGGTCTTAAGTCGTCTTGCTGTTTGTTTTTCTCTGCAGGCACTTCTTTTTCACTGCCATGCTTTTCGTATATGGCCGGATCCTTAGTCAACGGTTAGCTAATACCATGACTGCAGATCAGTTCTTTTATCGGCTAGTCACCGGCCTTATCAAATACCATATGGCTATCTGTTACTTGTTGTATATTATAGGTCAGTTTTGCATCACCGTTTTGTCCTCTTTGTGAAATTTGATTTTATATCATCGGTGAAAATAAGTCTTGATGTGTGGCTTAGTTGATTCACCCTTACCTTTGATGCTTACTGAATTAGCCTTGATGTAATAAATTTCAGGTTTCATGTGGTTCATTCTCACACTAAAAAAGAAGATGTACAAGTACCAGTTTGGCCAGTATGCATGGACCCACATGATTTTGATAGTCGTGTTTACTCAGTCGTCGTTCACTGTTGCCAACATATTTGAAGGGATTTTCTGGTACACATTTAATAATGTCACCATATGAAGTTGATGCTTTTCCGTATATCCGTATGTTAAGTTTGCTAAAGAAATCATCCTCTTCTATTTGTCACCACATAGGATGAGACTGTGCTTAACAAACATTGATACACTTGCATCTGTTTTACTTTTTTCTTCGCTATAATGTAAATTGTCTACTTTTGATGGTTTCCAATGCAGGTTTCTTCTTCCAGCATCGTTAATTATAATCAACGACATCTTCGCTTACATTTTCGGTTTCTTCTTTGGAAGAACGCCCTTAATAAAGCTGTCTCCAAAAAAGACGTGGGAGGGATTCATCGGAGCTTCTGTGACAACTATCATCTCTGCATTTGTTGTGAGTATTTGTTACCTTTGCTACCACATGACACATTAAAATGCTTACATCATTTCATTATATTCTTCTTCAGCATGCTTCTGAAATGTTCTGTATGCGTAATGTTTCAGCTCGCAAATATTTTGGGTCGTTACCCTTGGTTGACATGCCCACGACAGGTTAGTCATTGAGCAAAAAGAATGACACTAATCTTGCACACGATCTTTGAGGGAGTTTATAGTAAATCTATGAATCATGATGCAGGATTTGTCCACTGGCTGGCTACAGTGTGACGCTGATCCATTGTTCAAACCTGAACCTTTTGCTTTACCTGCATGGATCCCAGAATGGGTAAGCTTTGGTATTATGTTGCAACGCTTAGAAGAAACTTATCTATGGTGCTTTATTTTGGCATCTGTACTTGGTATATATCTAGGCATGTATAAGTGAATGTAGGTGAAGTCCCTCAGTTTATAACTTATTTCATATTGTATTCTTAAATAGGTTCAGATCCTGGCCTTTATGTTAGTTTCTGAAATAGGTTTGGATTCTAGCCATTTTATGGAGGTTACTCAATTAGCTCTTGTTAGCTAGCGGATAGTAGTGTTAGACTGTGCGGTTAGTCTTTCTGGTTGAATAGAATATTACATGAGGTTTCTCAACTTTCTACTTCATTTGTGCAGTTTCCTTGGAAGGAAATGACGGTCCTCCCTGTTCAGTGGCATGCATTATGCCTCGGTTTGTTCGCTTCAATCATAGCACCTTTTGGAGGGTTTTTCGCTAGCGGGTTTAAAAGAGCATTCAAAATCAAGGTCTGTCATCAATACCACCAAATTTGAGCTAATCTTCACTTTCCATACACATCTAACCACTAACAAAACCTTTACCTTATAAAAACCGCAATCCCAGGACTTTGGTGATAGTATTCCAGGACATGGTGGAATCACAGATAGAATGGACTGCCAGGTAACTCTAATGAAACTAGTATCTCTTCATAAGATTATGATTAGGTCTTTAAATAGCAGAGTTGCGTAATGATTTGGAAAAAGATACAAACTAAATGTTAAAACAAACAAGGTATTTTACTGTTTACATATATGCTTATTAGAGTTGTTCATTCACAAAATTCTCGTTGCATATTATTCTTTTCTAACTCCCATCTTTAAGCAAATACATAAACCAGACCTACTTTTATCTATTGTCACAGATGGTTATGGCAGTATTTGCCTACATATATCTTCAGTCATTTATAGTCTCCCAAAGCGTTTCGGTTGACAAAATTCTTGACCAGGTAATTAACTTCTCAGTTTTGTATCAAAACTGAAAACTCACTTTTGAGACGAATCATTCAATCAACTGTGACATGGTTTCATTGTAGATATTGACGAACCTTACCTTCGAAGAACAACAAGCGCTGTTCGTCAAATTAGGACAAATGCTGAAGGACAAGCTCTCATAGTTTCCACTCCCCCCCAAAAGTTCTTTTGTTCAGATTCTGATTCTCCCAAGAACAGGTTTCTCTGGAATATCCTTTTATCTTTGTCCTTTACTAGAGACAATAAATTTAAAATTGGATACGATTTGTTTTCTGCCATTGTAAATTCTCTCGAAATTTGTCGAAAATTAGAAGTTTTTTTTTCAAGTCTTCTCATTTGATACAATAGGTTTGAAGGAAGTTGTATCTACCTACTATCTCTACTTATTTAGTGGCTTTGGTGGTTTAGTTGTATTTTGTATATTGGTTAAAAATTGAAACGATATTTGGTTTGTTTGTCTCATGATTCGATTTGACTTCTGTGTTTTTTGAACTGGAAAATCGAATGCATCAAATAAGGAGGTCTTTGACTCTTCTGGGCTTTGTAGATAAGCCCACGTTGTTTTTGGGAAATAGGCCGAGAAAACGTATATCAATTTCTTATGTTTGTGAACATGCTTTGGCCTTTTGCTTTGCATGTGTTAATCATAGATCATAATTTCTCCACTGAGAAAATTTAGATTATTTTTCGTATTGTAACTGCAATTGAAACATTATAAAAAAAAAATTTTGCCCTAAAGCTTCCAAATATATTAGGCCGGAACTGATTAGTGAGTGAACTTTTTTTCGAAAGACCACCACACAGTCTATCCCGAGGTTATAATGCTTTCTGACTAATGTTTGGTGTAACCAGATCACCTGTTACTGGACTACTAGATAAACTGCTTAAGTTTTTCCCTAAAGCCCAGACTTTCAAAACCAAGACTAACCCAAATTTTTTAAACCCAAAATGAGACGGTAACCAATAAAACTATGAAAAAAATGATTAACCAAAACTAAACTAAACGAAACTAAACTAGGGTGATGCTAGTATCAAAAAGATGATATTATCACGTCTTTCACATGTGTTCAAAAAAGTGATGCTATTAATATGTTAAACAAGTAAACAACTACTATTTTATGACCATCAAAGGGATAATAAAGAGGCAATGAGCAAACAAAAACCTTACTAATCAAAAAAAAAAACCTTACTAATCATCACAGAACCTAGACGTTCTTTAGTTTATGCCTGCTTCTAATTTCCGCGTCTGAAGATAATACCAAAAAAGAGCTCAAACAAAAACAAGATAACCACATCTTGTTATGTGACTATCACGTGTTAACCCTGACTCACTTGTTGTCTGGCACGTTGGCTCACACGCCGGCACCTTAGACTAAACACGCTAAGTCTTTAGCCCACGTCAGCAACTGATTACCGATAATTACTATGACGTGGACGTTGGTTAAAGAAAATAAACAACACAACCCTAAAATAAACTCTTTTTTTGTCGTTTCTTTGTTTCTTGGTCAAATTTTTTTACTTTTTGTCGTATATAAATAAACTTTTTGAGTGATAAAATACATAGAAATAAATCTGAATAATTTAGTTCAGCATTTAATAATTTAAAGCATGAAATTCATAATAAAGAGTATAACCATCGAAGATTTTATTTTGGTACAGAGTGAATCTAGACGCTATATTATATAGTGTGATAAAACTGAGAACTAACTACAAATTTTAACCATCCACATTCACAATTATCTTCAATAGAAAGTTAAAAACATTACATTAAAGGCCTTAACTCAATTCACCTAATTATTGAGTATACTTTTTCATTCTTGTCACATAATTTCACCACTCTGTCGTCATCTTTTATCATTTTGTCGTTTACTACGATTAGTCTCTATTAAATCGTATAGGTATTATAAATATACGTTATAAATTCTCCGAATCATTTGTCATATCGTCAAAAAAGATTTTATCAAAAGGACAAAGAAAGAGATGGTTGAGATCCAGGCAAGATTCAAGAGAGTTGAGTCGGCTTTCAACGTAGCGGCGGCGCGTGTACGTCCGCCGTGTGATAATAGTAGCGGAAGCGATCATTCGCCGGATCTTTCGGATTTGGTCGCATCTTTTATGGAGAAAGAAGGACAAATAGTATTACGTGAGGAAGAAGAAACTTCTTCCGACGATAATGATTTGGAAGATGTGAAGGAGAGGTTACGGAAGCTTTTAGAAGGTTTGTCCGGCGGCGAAGAGCGGAGGAGAGTAATGGCGGCTATGATGGAGGTTGCTGGAACGTTCGTCGGAGATGTTAGTTCTCCTAAGCGTCAATTGATGGTGTTTCTACGTAACAAGGGTTTTGATGCAGGTATGTATAATCTAATCATCATCTCTTAGCACAAAAAAATGTATAATCTAATCATCTCTATCTATATAGTATATTGAAATTTTACATATTAGTTTATGACTAATTTTTGGGTTTATAGCTAAGCTACGGAATGATTTTCATATCTTATGTAGAATTGTGATTTTCCGAGTTTTAGGGACTAAAATCAATCAAGTTTTTATTTTCTCTATGTGTTTTTTTTAAACAGTTAAAAGTGTAGATTTATTTTCATCATGATTCCATTCCACCATTTTTAAAAAATTTAAATCCAAAATATATTAGTAATTAATAATAATTTACTAATTATCCTCTAGTACATAAGGTTGCAAGAAATTTTTAATACTACTTTTATAAAAATAAAGAAAATTTAGACAACTCGAGTATTTTCTTCATTCGTTTTAGATTCTGTACTTCAAAAAACGAAATTTTGTTTCTTGTGGTCAAACAATTGATAAGATTAACTAGTTTTCCTTTCACCGCAAGTAACCAAATATGTTTTTTTCTACTGTTATATATGATTTGTGCAATTGCTTACTAATCATACTATTAAACAGAAGTTACCTAAATTAATGTTGAGAAAAAGACTCGGTTCCACTTCATATCTCATTCTCATGGTACTTGAAATAGTTAAGTTGTACTAACAGTCTAAAATTTATATAAATATGTTGTACTTGAAATAATAAGTGTGTACTTTATATTGCAGCCACAATAAAAGTTGTACACTTGTACTTTTTCTTTTGTTCTGTGATGTACTCGTGGTACTTATAATAAGTTGTACTATGTTAGATAAATGACGATAATCATCACCATGTATGTGTATAGGTCTTTGCAAGTCAAATTGGGAGAGATTCGGCAAGAACACCGGCGGAAAATACGAGTACGTCGACATTCGATGCGGCGGAGATCATAATCGGTTTATCGTGGAGACAAACCTAGCCGGAGAATTTGAGATAGCTCGACCAACGAAACGGTACCTTTCAATACTAAACCAAGTACCACGTGTCTTCGTGGGAACTTCGGAGGAGCTCAAACTGCTCGTGAGAATCATGTGCCACGAGATGAGACGGTCGATGAAGCACGTAGGTATGCACGTGCCACCGTGGAGGAGAAACGGTTACATGCAAGCTAAGTGGTTCGGTTTTTATAAACGAACTTCGACGACGAATAATTACGACATGGTTAATACTTATGATACGACGGCGTTTAAGGGTTGCAAGGAAGAGTTTTGGGAAGCAAAAGGTCGTAAGGTTATGGTTGGTCAGCTTTCGGTTACTTTCAACGTTAGTGGGGTTGAAGTGTAATAATAATCGGAGTGAATCTTTTTGAGTTTTTAGCTGATATATGTAAGCTAGTTATCGGGTTTTGTTTGTAAATACTAAATAGTAATATTTTTTGTTGATTTAGCAAATTAATACGTAATTTATTTTAAATAACGTGCATTTTGGCACGGTTTTAACTATACTGACCGAGTCAGATTTGTTTTGGTTTATTTTCATTTTTCAACACAAATCTAGTCAAAACGACGAATGTCTATTTAGATATTGAATGGTATTTTGGCGTTATTCCTTCTCCCCGAAAAAGAAAATTGGGTGTCTGAGTGTTTTTGACGGCAAAGTGTGTTTCATTGAACTAATTAGTCCAAAAAGTATCTACAAATTCACAAATGATTTCATTTCATTATTATTAGCTAAATGATTAATTACTAAATTTTTTTTTATCTTACTATCATAAATTGTTGCTACTGTTTTAAATCCGACATTTTTTTTTGGTTTTTCTGATTTAAATGACCAATAGACTCTTTAGGCCCATTGGTATACCGGATCATGTTTCTTGGGCTATAAACATTGGATCACTTTTCATGAATACACCAAACAGATGTAAAAAGACAAGGATCAAACACTTATCTTACCTCAATATGCAGAATATTTTTACCAATAAACGAACTTTAATTAGAAATATAGGTTCTCCGAAATTCAAACATGATTTATAGCAATAGAACAAAGTCTAGCACTACAAGTTTAAGTTAAACAATCAGTTATATACTTATAAGTGTTTAGAATTCGTAGGATAAAAAATAAATAATTTTAGTCCTTATGTAATTGCCCCCAAAAAAAAAGAAAAGAAATTTGTCCTTATGTCTTTATGAGGTTGCAACATGTAGCATAATTAATAAATTTTTAGCAAATGTTTGCCTTGTCTTGACAATCTTTTAGTATATGTAAAAGGGGAAATAAAAATAAAAAAATGGAAATGGACTTTACAATAGGATAACTGGATTTTCTTGTAATTGATAAGTATTATTTTTGAGATATCATATATTTCCCCTTTCATACACAACAAGTGCAGGTCCTAAAATTTGTCCAAAAAATAGATTATTAACTCAATAATTCAACTACAAGTTATGATTAAGTTGTTGGGGTCCACCACAAGGTCAAACTCTGCTTTGAAAATTCTGATTTTTTTTTTTTTGAATATCAGAAAGTTCTGTACCAAAGCTTGTAATTCTTCCAGGTCAAAAACTATATCATATAATATTAGTTTCGTCCCAAACGTCATTCGAACCGGCGATTTCTTAGCTTCGTCTAGGATCTTTTTCAGTTGAGATAAAGACACTTGGTAAATTTTGAATCTTTTACCATAGAATTAAAACCATAAAACCAAAAATGAGAAATGCAGGTAAGCATCTAGAAGAAAAATAATAATCCGATGAAATCTAACGTAATTCACACTATAGCAAAACATTTGCTATTTTTTTAATACAATCTTTGTGATTTGGTAGAGGCATGCTCCTATAAGCTATTTAAACAACGATATTACTCCATCCGTTCTTTTATAAGTGATATTTTAAACTTCTAATTTTGTTCTTAAATAGATGATGATTTCAATTTTCAATACAAAATTAATTACTTTTTAATTGGTTTTGACGATTTATATTTTGTAGATTGATTTTTTATTAATTGATTAGATAATAAATAATATTTTAATTTAAAAATAAATAAAAATTAAATAATTTATTAATCTATGTGTATTTTTTAAAAACATCACTTATAACAAATGTTATGATTTACATGTGGGATTTGGTTAGTAGATACCTCCACAATACAAACCTATCCATTATCCAAACATATTAATTTCCTTCAATGCCAAAAAATTTTATTTGAATAAAATAGTCATTTATTAAATTAATAAACAAATAAAAAGAAAACATAGTTGGACTTTCTTAGACCTTTTAAAATTCGGCATCAAGAATAAAGAAAAAAAACCTTTCAAAATTCAAAGTCTCATCAAACTCATTCCTCAAGAAAGACTCTCTCTCTCTCTCTATGAAGAAGCTCTGCCGGAAAGGAACCGTTCATCCGTCGCCGGCGCCGGCGATAAAGACCGACGACCAGTTTCTCTCTCTCCTCCCCGTGGCTATCCTCTCTCTTGTGGCGGCGCTTTCGGCTGAAGACCGTGAAGTTCTTGCTTACCTCATCTCAAACTCCGGCGACTCAAATCGTTTCTCTCACCTCAAGAAAAACAAAACCCACAAAGCAAGCAAAGAAGATAATCAACACTCTCCTCTTTTCGTCTGTGATTGTTTTAGCTGCTACACGAGTTACTGGGTCAGATGGGACTCGTCACCGAGTCGCCAACTCATTCACGAGATCATCGACGCCTTCGAAGATAGTTTGGAGATGAAAAAGAGGAAGAAAGATCGGAGAAAACGATCGGGAAAAGCTTCTGTACGAGTTGACTCGGTTGGACCGAGTCGACTCAGTGAGTTGGGTTCGAGTTCGGCCGAGTTTGTTGGTGGTGACTCGGGGAAAGATGGAAATTGCGGTGGTGAAGAGGCGGAGAAGGAGAAAGGCTCCGTTGGAAAGGTTTTGAGTTTCATTGGTCAGAGATTTTTGGGAGTTTGGGGATAAGGAAATTTCCAAACATTTTGGTGGAAAAAATGATGAAATTTACAAAAAGACAAAATAAAATAAGCTATAGTTTGTTTTTGTAACATTTTATTTCTGGCTCAAGCTTTTTTCCAGAAATTTTATTTTCTTTTGCATTTCCTTCAGTTTTTTTTTTTTTTCCTTTGAAAGGGGTTTAGTACTTCATGTAATATAGATGTTTATTAACTACCCTGTAATTTTTCAAGTTTAGGAGTCACTGTATTATATACACCTAAATGAAATAAATTTGTATCATAGGAAATAATTACACTCTTTATTCTTTAAAGTATCCCTGTTTTACACTTTCTGATTAGTTCTGGTCGATGATATCATCATGGAATCTTAAAAATTAAAAATTAAATAAAAATCATAAAAAAAAGATAGTTTAATGGTAAAAATTTATAAGATTCTAATAACTTTGTTTTTTCTTAAAACTTATATTTTGGAAAAACGAAATAATTGAATTCTTTACACTTATAAAATCGGGTAGCAACTTCCAAAATCATGGAATACTTTTATTGTTCCATCTTCACGAGTTACCATTATTTCTTTCTTTAGGACATGTAATTAAAATTGCAAATTACTACTAGGACACTGCTTAAGAGTATATAATTTCATGATTAAATGGTTTAATATGTGCCGGAACGTATTTAAAAAAATTAATTTGACAGTTGATTCGTTATCGAATGGTATTCGACTATTCGGAAAACATCGTTGTTGCTGATTTTACCAACTAAAAACATTAAATAATAGTATAAAATAAAACCATATGAATTATGAGTTAGGCTATACAACATATAATCACGTACATACATACAAAAATAGTTAAACGCATGTCCAAAATATCTCGGCCACCACCACCAACAAGCACTTTTATGCTTCCCATGATCATAGGTTGGTACAATTACGTTAAAAAATACATCACTTGACTATTTCGAATTTTATATCCCTGAATGAAAATATAGTTGAAATTTCTTTTAGTCCAAAAGTATAATTTTATCTGTAGGTAATAATACTCCAAAGTATATGAAAACACCTTGACCAAATTGAGAGTTTTATTATGAAATATAGTGATTCGCCACTCCAATCTAAAAACATCTTGATCTCTTGATTTTAAGCTAAATACAATAAGTATTTGATATATGAAATTAATAATTGATATAAATATTGAATACAAATGGACATTATTCAAAGGTTAGGTCGTTTATGTTTTAATTAATGAACATTATGCTCATTTATGTAAAACAATCAAATAGAACTACAACAACCAATGAGAGTAGCCAGTTTTTTTTTTTCCTGAATTATTAAGCTTACCTAATCATCCCTTCTTGAATCGCATTTTGAATGTTTTGATGGACAAGTTCAAAAGATTGTTCGTTACATATTATTCATAAGATTATAAATATTGCTTTGCCAGAAACAAAAGATTATAAATATTGCATAGAGATTCGGTCTAATGCTTTACCAATATACTACAAAATACAATGAATTGGTACTTTAATTTCTAGAAATGAGCATATTCCAACATTGGACTTCACGAATAAAATACATAAAGAAGAGACATTATGGGCTCTTGTCTCGGTGTAATACTTTACCTCTCCAGAGTCCAGAGTCCAGACACATTCCTTTATTTCTTTGACATAAAAAGATGGTTAACACTTAACAGTACTCTATGTGAAATAATACTTCATTCAATTAATTGGTTTTTGGTCATATATTTAGTAAAAACTGTGGAACTGATAGCTAATAAACAATCTTATAGTCTTTTTTGAGAAATAAAACAAACCTATATATTGTTTTAGTTGGTAATTTTGTATCACTGAGGTATGAGATTTTGTTGGAGTAAACTTGAAGTTAACTTAAACCTGAAGTAATCTCTCGAAACTAAAACCGAGTTATGGTTTACAGAAGATAAGACCAAATATGTTAGGAGTTATCTAACATATATGTAATCCTAGTGAAAATAGGATTTTGTAGAGGTCTTATAAATAGAAGTCGAGTAATAACTTTGTTTAATAAGAGAGATTAGGGTTTGTGAGAGTTAGAGAGAAAGCTTGAGTTTTTTTTTTTTTTTTTGTGCACCCAAAGAAAGCTTGAGTTTTGAGTCAGTTTTTTAAGCTAATAAAAGTGAGTTATACTTTTCAATCTTGCATTCATAAACAATAATCTAATTCTATATTTGGTATCAGAGCTTGACAACGATCCGTGAGAAATCATGGCAGAAATTGTCGAGGCATCAAACGCGGCGTTAGCAAAGGTGAAAGACGGAGGAGGATCTTCATCCATCAAGTGTCCCATGTTAACATCAACTAACTACACCGTATGGACTATGAGGATGAGGATCTTACTCACGGTTCACAAAGTATGGGAGATCATAGAGGTATCGTCGAATGATGAAGAGAAGAATGACATGGCCATCGCTTTGATTTTTCAATCCATCCCCGAATCCCTTATCCTACAAGTTGGAAAATTATATACGGCCAAAAAGGTATGGGAAGCGATAAAATCAAAGCACTTAGGGGCAGAAAGAGTAAAGGAAGAAAGGCTGCAAACTTTAATAGCCGAGTTTGATAGATTGAAGATGAAGGAGACCGAAACAATTGATGACTTTGCTAGCAAGCTATCTGAAATCTCATCAAAATCTGCATCACTAGGAGAAACAATTGAAGAAAGCAAACTTGTTAAGAAATTTCTTAAGAGTCTTCCCCGAAGAAAGTACATTCACATTGTGGCATCACTTGAACAAGTACTTAACCTTAAGGAGACAAGCTTTGAAGAAATATTAGGGCGGCTTAAGGTTTACGAGGAACGTGTTGCGGAAGAAGAGGAAACTCAAGACGATCAAGGGAAGTTAATGTACGGAGCTGCGGAGACTCAATCATCACAACCTTATTGTGAATATGGTGGAGAATATAGGTCCAGAGGACGTGGAGGAAGATTCTATAGCAGAGGAAGAGGAAGAGGAAGGTATAATGGAGGAAGAGATACCTCAAAAGTTGTCTACTATAGGTGTGACAAGTTAGGTCACTTTGCATTCGATTGTCCGGATCGCTTGCTTAAGTTGCAAGAAGTACAAGAACACGACACAAAGAGTACAGAGGGGGCTGATGAGTTAATGATGCATGAGATAGTGTTCTTAAATGAAGAGAAGGTGGTACCAAGCAAGTATGAAACCAATTCCGGAGAACCTAATGTTTGGTATCTTGATAGCGGAGCTAGTAATCACATGACTGGAGATCGACGGTACTTCACAAGCCTAGATCGGACCAATATCACAGGGAAAGTAAGATTCGGATGACTCGCGAATAGACATTAAAGGAAAGGGTTCCATTGAATTCATTGACAGAAACAGAGAACTAAGGAAATTGGTTGATGTGTACTTTATTCCAGAGTTAAAGAGTAATATCATTAGCCTTGGGCAAGCTACATAATCTGGTTATGACGTGAGGATGAGAGGAGAAGACTTAATAATGCATAATCGAGAAGGAAAGTTACTTGTCAAGGCAGTGAGATGAAGAAATCGGCTTTACAAAGTAAACATGGGAATCAAAGAAATGATGTGTCTCTATTCAACAGCAAAAGTTGAGTCAGATCGGTGGCATGCGAGATTAGGACACATCAACTTTGAAACATTGAAAAATATGGTGAAAATAGAACTTGTAACAGGGATTCCTCATGTTAACTTCGAGAAAAGGATATGCGGCTCATGCTTTCTTGGAAAGCAAACAAGACAAGTTTTTCCCCAAGCTACCATGTTTCGAGCAACCAAACCATTTGAACTGATCCATGGTGATCTTTGCGGACCAATCACTCCAAGCACAGCAGCGGGAAACAAATACATATTTGTACTCTTCGATGACTACTCAAGATACACGTGGACAGTGTTACTTAAAGAAAAGAGCCAAGCATTTGAAAAATTCAAAAGATTCAAGAGTTTGGTAAAACAAGAAACTCGGGAAACAATACAAACTCTTAGAACATACAGGGGAGGAGAATTCGTATCGCAAGAGTTTAATGATTTTTGTGCTATAGCCGGGATAAGACGACACCTCACAGCCCCATACACTCCTCAACAGAACGGAGTTGTTGAGAGACGGAACATGACACTTATGGAGATGACACGAAGTATCCTAAAACACATGAGAGTTCCAAATTTCTTGTGGGGAGAAGCTGTGAGACACTCAACCTACTTGTTAAATCGAATAGCTACAAGATCACTCAAAGATAAGACTCATATGAGATGTTGCGATCTAGAGTTCCTAGCATCAACCACCTCAGAGTTTTTGGTTGCATAGGATATGTAAAAACAGAGGCGACTCATCTAAGGAAGCTAGACGATAGATCGCGTACACTGGTTCACCTAGGAACAGAGCCTGCTCGAAGGCATATTGGTTATATGATCTTCAGAGTAGGAGAGCAGTGGTAAGACGTGATGTTGTCTTTGACGAAACAAAAGGATGGAACTAGAACATAATCAATGCAGAAGACGATAATGTAGGTGATCTCAGAATTGAGTTTGGATCTTTTGGAAATCGCGGAATCCAAAGAACATAGCAGAACAGAGAAACAAAGGATGAGAATGGTATCGAAGAAGACACCGTAGAAACTTTTGTAGAAGGACATGAAAACAATGAAGAATCTTCTGAGAGTGAAGATGACAGTGATGGTAATGAGAATCAAACACAACCAGGGAGAGTAGTGACTAGATCAGGAAGAGTAATTACCAAGCCTAAGTATCTCCAAGACTATGTCTTGCTCGCATAAGAAGAAGGAGAGCGTCTGCTAATGAGTTTAAATGATGAACCATGGGATTTTTGTGAGGCTAAGGAATCAAAAGAATGGATGGCTGCATGTGAAGATGAAATTCATTCTATTGAAAAGAACCATACTTGGAATCTTGTAGATCCACCACAAGATGTAAAGCCGATAGGTTTGAAATGGGTTTTCAAGCTCAAGAGAAACTCGGATGGAAGCATAAGGAAACATAAAGCTAGACATGTTGCAAAGGGTTACGTGCAAAAATATGAAATTGACTTTGAGAATGTCTTTGCTCCAGTAGCACGTATTGAGACAATCCGTCTCCTTATAAGTCTTGCAGCCTTTAAAGGTTGGGAAATACATCATCTAGATGTAAAAACAGAGTTCTTGCATGGAGAATTGAAGGAAACAGTATATGTAATGAAGCCAGAAGGATTCAAAGCAAAAGGACATGAAGAAAAGATATACAAGCTAAACAAGGCTTTATACGGTCTCAGGCAAGCTCCGAGAGCATGGAATGAAAAACTAAACCAGGTACTTAAGGAACTTCAGTTCATGAAGTGCTCTAAGGAACCCTCAGTCTACAGAAAGTGTGTGAATCAACACATTCTTCTCCTTGCAGTATATGTTGACGATCTATTTGTTTCGGAACAAGTGTTGAGGTGATAGGAAATTTTAAAAAAGAGATGGCATCAAAGTTTGAAATGAGTGATCTCGGTAAGTTAACATATTATCTAGGAATTGAAGGGTGTCAATAAGAAGGAATAGCTCTAAATCAAAGGCGATATGCACTACAGATATTAGAGGAAGTTGGAATGAGTGAATGTAACTTGGTTCACACGCCAATGGAAGTAGTTCTGAAACTATCAAAGGCCTCGGAGGAGAAAGACATCGACACCACAAGCTACAGAAAGAATGTGGGCTGCCTTCGCTACTTACTTCACACGAGACCAGACTTGTCTTATTGTGTAGGGGTTTTGAGCCGATACATGCAAAATCCCAAGGAGTCACACGGAGCAGCAATGAAACAATGTCTAAGATACTTAAAAGGGACAACCACTCTTGGTTTGAAATTTAGCCGATGTAAGGGAATACCAAAGCTGAGGGGTTATAGTGACAGTAACCACAACGTTGATCAGGATGATGGAAGAAGCACAATGGGGCATGTATTCTACCTTGGTAAGAGTCCAATAACATGGTGTTCACAAAAACTGAGTGTTGTAGCATTGTCATCGTGTGAGGCGGAGTTTATGGCGGGGACTAAGGCAGCAAAGCAAGCTATTTGGCTTCAAGACCTACTAAGTGAAATAACCGGAACTACTTGTGAGAAGGTTGTCATACTCATTAATAATCAGTCGGCCATCGCTCTCACAAAGAATCCGGTATTTCACGGCCGTAATAAGCACATACATAGGCGTTATCACTTCATAAGAGAATGCGTTGAGAATGGGCTAATCGAGGTTGAACATGTTCCGGGAGACGAGCAGAAGGCAGACATACTAACCAAGGCACTTGGGAGAATCAAGTTTAAAGAGATGAGAAGTCTCATTGGAGTTAAAGACATGGCACAAGATGACTTCAAGCTTACTCCAACATTCTCCCTCTTAAGCTTGAAGTCATATATTTAGTAAAAACTGTGGAACTGATAGCTAATAAACAATCTTATAGTCTTTTTTTGAGAAATAAAACAAACCTATATATTGTTTTAGTTGGTAATTTTGTATCACTGAGGTATGAGATTTTGTTGGAGTAAACTTGAAGTTAACTTAAACCGGAAGTAATCTCTCGAGACTAAAACCGAGTTATGGTTTAGAGAAAATAAGACCAAATATGTTAGGAGTTATCTAACATATATGTAATCCTAGTGAGAATAGGATTTTGTAGAGGTCTTATAAATAGAAGTCGACTAATGACTTTGTTTAATAAGAAAGATTAGGGTTTGTGAGAGTTAGAGAGATAGCTTGAGTTTTGATTTTCTTAAGCTAATAAAAGTGAGTTATACTTTTCAATTTTGCATTCATAAACAATAATCTAATTCTATAGATTTACTGTTTAGCAATTACCAATCATAAAAGTGTTAACTAAAAACATTATTTATAAACTTATAATAACCAAAACCAAATTGAATTTAGGTTCAGTTTGTTTTTTTTCTTATTTAGTGTGGTTATTAGAACTAAGCTTTTTTCTAAAATTAATATTAGACTTAGAATGAAAGATGTTTGTCACGGCATGAGACGTGTTTGAAGGGCTTTCTAATTAGTTTCTATTTCGTACTACAAAAGTCAATACGTTGTCTTTGCACTCCGTCTTGTTTTTTGGTCATCACGCACGAGCATCTTCAGTTTTTTTTTGTTTGTTATATACTCATATATCTTGACAGTTTATACATTTATCACCTGAAATATTGTATTTAAGTAAATTTTTTGTTAAGAGTCGTGGAACACATCAATTTTTGTTTGTTTTTTCAGACTTTCAGTTATTCTGAACTATACCAGGAAATATCTGAGTCTGTAATAAATTTGGCAAAGACAAATTTGGATTTGCTTTCTTCACAAAAGATTTATATATTTGGTTGAAATATTCTTAACGAAGTCATGTCTTAGTTTGGACATGATCTTATTTTTGCCAAATAGAAATCGCAACTACAAACTTTTGTAATCCTATATGGCTATATCTTAACAAGTGAACCCTGAAAACTAGCTACTATGTTGTAAGTTATAACATATACATTTCAACTTGTGAGCTTGTTTTGGGACCACAAAAAGGGCCAAATGTGATAATATAGACTTAGAAACTCTTATATGGTAGAAGACTAATAAAAAAAATGGTGGAAAACATATATACTATATAATTGCCAAAAGTTTATCGGAAAAATGTAAATAAAAACATTAAATTTGAGACGTTTTAATCTTAAATTTGAAAATATCGATTAAACATTAAGTTTTTGTTGCCTTCATAAATAAATAACGAATTTTTATTGATTTGACAATTTGAAGCATGTCGTGAAGTAAATAGACATAATTTTTAACGGACAGTTAAAACATCAGAAACGAAATATGTCTATCAACTTAATGACATGCCTTAGATGGCCAAATCAACATAATCTTAAAATCTAATCAACATTCTTAAAATTCAAAACTAAAACGTCTCAAATTTGAAAATTATGTTTTTTCCTTAACATTTTTTTCAGAGTTTATCGCTCAATGTTTCTTTCAGACTTTTTTTCCTCACCAACGAACCACTAAGAATTGCTAAAATTATTGGCGTTAATAAAAAGTTTAATCATCATACGAGCTACCATCACTAGAAAATAGGATGAATATTTAATTATCATAAGCCTAGCTAAGAGTGTTGACAAAAGGGATTAACCATGATTCCTTAAAATTTCACTACATATATAGGCAATAAATAGTAAATAAATTAACATCAAACCTAATAAATAAATAAATAAAATATACGATTAGGTGGATTAGTTAGAACTTATGTGCTTGTTACTAAGAATCTTTAGACTATCTTCTCCCTCAGTTAAGAAAACTTTCTTTGGTAGGTATCTATTGTTATCATCATCACTTCACAATCTTTTTTTTTTTTTTCGACTGAATGATTCAATATATTAATAATTTAGAAGTTTCAGAATACAACATTACCCAAAAAGACGGGGATCCATGACAATCACCTACATGGAAGAGAATACAAAAGGTACTACCATCAAGTAGTATACATCTCTTCACTAAATAAATCATGTAACCAAAAAGGGTAGCTGGTAGCTACGTATGATTGTCGTCGATCCTCCCGTGTCACACTTTGAGCAATGTGGAAAGCACCTTTGTTAGCGCATCTCTCCTCAAACATAATTTGCCAACGCGGGATGTGACTTAGAGCAAATAACAAGGACTCGGACTGTGCATAATAGGAAGGCCAAGCTGCAGGCCTTAACACCGCATCCATTAGATACTTCTCTTCAGCAGACAAAAGAAGATTTCTGATTTTGAGACTATGCATACTCTCTATTGCCCAAAGCCAGCAACTGAGTTCCGCATCCTGCTTTGTTTCAATCTCACTGAAAGAACATCTGCTGTGAAGTAAGACCACACCTAAAGAGTTCCTAAGCACCCAAGCAGCTCCTCCAACCTTGTTGTGTTTGTCCCAAGAAGAAGCAATGTTGCACTTGAGCCAAGGATTGTCCGGAGGCTTCCATACCTTGTGTAACCCCGCGTTTGCCTTGCTAGTGTTTTGCTCATCTTCCTTTTGAACTTGTTGAGCCAAAAACCAATGATCGGAGTCATCTTTGATCTTAGCAAGCATATCAAATTGATGAAAGACCTTACCATCAAAAATAAGGTTATTCCTATTTTTCCACAGGGTCCAAATGATCCAAGGAACAGTTCTTCTTGATTCAATAGTCAGCCCTGCATTCCTGGACATCGATATGACATGGAAGACGTTATGGTAGAGAGAGTGTTCAGCAAATCCATCAACAGGAGAAGGAATGTTGGAGAGAGCCCATGTTTGCCTGGCCAAAGTGCAGAGAAACATCACATGGTTGATTGATTCTCCTTCAAACCCACAAGTAAGACAACGGGGATCAATCTTTACTCCTCTTGTAGCTAGTCTCTCAGCAACCGGTATAGCCCCACTGACAGCCTTCCAGAGAAACATTTTAATCTTAGAAGGAGCCAAAACTTCCCAGATTTTTTCTTTAATGGGATTGATTGAAGGTAAAGCTGTAACCTCAATCTGAAGATCCACATTATGATTCTGTGCAGCTAACCAGTAACCAGAACGAACAGAGTATTCGCCACTCCTATTGTGTAACCAAACCATAAAATCCGGAGAAGATAAAGCTGGTTTGATCCTTTTGATGATTTCCTGGTCTCTTTGGAAGAAATGTTCTTGTAACTTGTCCCTATCCCAAGTCTTTGCAATTGGATCAATAAGGTCCGCGACTTTGAGATCCAAATTCACCAATATGTTTTTCATGAAAGGAGCTCTAAGGATGTCATCTTGTATCCAGCGAGTACACCAAACCAGAACAGAAGCTCCATTACCAATACCCTGTCTTAGACCTTTTTCCAATAGCTCTCTCCCATGGAGAATACTTCTCCAAGCAAAAGAAGGTCTGGATCCCAGCTTAGCATCGAGGAAAGGATCCTCATCATAATACCTACTCTTGATGAAACGAGAGAAAAGGCAAGACGGATAGTGGAGAAGTCTCCAAGCTTGCTTGGCTAAGAGAGCTTGGTTGAACAGCTCTATGTCCTTGAAACCAAGACCTCCTTTGTTCTTTGGCAGGCAAAGCTTACTCCAAGAAACCCAATGTATCTTCTTGTGGTGTTCAAGGGTACTCCACCAGAAAGCGGACATGGCTCCAGATAAAGATTCGCATGTGGATTTAGGCAGTCTAAAGCATGACATGGCGTAAACAGGCATCGCCATTGCAACAGACTTGAGGAGAATCTCTTTCCCTCCTTGTGATAATGTTCTTGCAAACCAGCCCGAGAGTCTGTTCTTCAGCGAGTCATGAATATATTCCAACATATCAGCCTTTGAACCACTGAAACATTCAGGGAGACCTAGGTAAGTGCCGGCTCCACCTTCATTAGAGATACCAATCTTGGTCTTGATCCTCTCTTTATCCATCTCAGAAATCTTGGATCCAAAAGTTATTGAAGATTTATCTAAATTAATGACCTGACCTGTAGCTCTACCATAAGTATCCAGAATAACTTTAAAGGCTGATACTTGATCTTCCAGCGCTTTGCAGATGAAGAGAGAGTCATCAGCGAAGAGGAGATGGTGAATAGAGGGACCATTCAAGGAGAACTGCAACCCATTAATCAAACCATTTTCCTCGGCCTTATTGAGCAAGTGAGTGAGGCCTTCAGTGCAGAGAATGAAGAGGAAAGGTGATAAAGGGTCACCTTGTCTTAAACCACGTTGGGGAACAACCAAACCATGTGGCTGTCCATTTATCAGAACCGTGTAGGACACTGTCTGAACACAAGTCATAATCCACTTGACCCAAATGACATGAAACCCTAAAGCAATTAGCAATTTCTCCAAGTAACTCCATTCCACTCTATCAAAAGCCTTGGACATGTCAGTTTTTATGGCCATAAACTCCTTGGAAGTTGCATTGTGAGTCCTGAGGCCATGAACAACTTCATGTGCAATCATAATATTATCAGATATAAGCCTTTCTTCAACAAATGCGGACTGATTTGGAGAGACAATCGTGGACAGCAAAGGTTTCAGTCTCGAGACAAGGATTTTAGAAATGACCTTGTACATGACTGAACATAGGCTAATGGGTCTGAGATCCTTCATGGTAGATGCACCTGGCTTCTTGGGAATGAGGCAGAGCTGAGTGAAGTTCCACTCCTTTTGAAAGAACCCATCAGAGAAAAATCTGAGAACCTCTTCAGTAAAATGATTTCCAACAATCTCCCAATATTGTTGGAAGAAAAGGCCAGTCATACCATCATAGCCCGGAGCACTAGAAGATTTAATAGAGTAGACCGCAGCTCTCACTTCTTCTTTACTAACCTTCTTCAATAGAGACGAATTCATATCCGCTGCATCACTTCACAATCAGTTTCATATTCTTTAATCAAAATAAAAAGGATTTGAGGTGATATAGGTCGTGTGCTTACGTAGTGAGCTCTCTCCTTCATATCGTTGAGAACTTTGTTTTTTAGCGTCTATGTTTGAGAAAAAAAAATAAGTTCGATGATTTTTTTATTTTTTAAAAATATGGTCTCACGTGCTTAAGTCTATAGAGATACCAAACAAATAAAATAAATGTGAACTTTGCTATATAATATTTTAAAATATATATCGTTAATCTACTTAAAATTGAACTGGGCCAATTTTACTCCGATCCTCCGACTTAAGGCACGCTTCACAACATCGTCAATGGAATCTGGAGTAAGTACTATAGAGATATCTCTGTCTCTAAGTTGGATGGAAATGTATTCCTTTTTCGCATTCCAAATTCTTCCACCAGAAATCATGTAATAAACCAGCGTTTGTGGCAAATTGAGGGCAAGACCATGTTTGTTGCGAAGTGGGAACCAGGCATCGTCCCAAAGAAGCCCGAGCTAACGTCTGCACCTATTTGGCTCGAGTTAAGAAATTTCCCTTTGCAATTCTTTCATGAGCAGGGATTAGAACATATTGCAGGACTTGTGGGAGATCCAAAGTTCCTTCATCCTTCAACAGCGAACAAAACGAACCTTGAAGTGGCAAAAGTTTTCACTATTATCGACCCAAGAAAGCCGCTTCCTGAGGCGGTAAATGTGCAATTCGACTCTGGTGAAATCGCAAGAATCCTTGTCTCTAGCCCATGGATGCCACCGGTGTGCAGCCATTGCAAAGAAATAGGACATACTCTGAAGAGATGCTCAAAGGCCCCGGTTTCTTGTTCTAGATGTAGCTCCACAGTTCATGTGACTGAGTCCTGCCCGAGACTAAAAACAACAGAATCTAAGCACAGACAGCAAAAGAAGCATCCCCACTATGGGAAAGTTGCTCCTGTGGACGCAACAAAAGGTCAAAATTTTGTTTATGTTAGAGTCTCGCCAAAGACTGTTTCTGTTAAGGAGTCGCCTAGTGAGAGTTTAGCTCCGCCTATTTTGGAACATCACCTGCTTAAGGGAGAGGCTAGTGGTCTTTCAGTTCAAAGTAAGGCTGTTATTTTAAAGGATAGTGATGCAAGGGTATCTGCGAATTCTTCTGAAGTTGAGCCAGACTCATCAGATACCTTGTCCTCCGATCATGATGAGGAAGATAGTTCTGAGGAAGTGTTTGAAAAGTTTCAGAAAGTGCTGTCGAAGAAACAGCGCAAGGTTCAGAGAGGCAAGAGCCTCAAACCACACAATAGACATGTGTACGAACCTCTTTTGTTGGAACGTCCGCGGCTTCAATATTTTTAGCCATAGAAGCGGTTTTAGAAAATGGTTTAAGGGTAGTCAATCCCTTTTTGGTGGTCTCATCGAGACCCACGTCAAGCAGATTAAAATGAAGAAGTTTGTAAATGATCTTTTGCCTGGTTGGCTTTTTGTAGATAACTACGGTTTTTCAGAATTGGGGAAGATTTGGGTTTTATGGCATCCTAGCGTCAAGGTTTTGGTTATTTCCAGTTCGCTACAAATGGTTACTTGTGAGGTTCTGCTTCCGGATGCTTTGGACTGGATTGTTGTTTCGATCATCTATGCTTCAAACGAGGAGAGTCAAAGGCAAGAGCTATGGGCTGAAATGGTTGATTTGGCTTCTTCTCAGGCTCTTGTTGGAAAAGCTTGGATCGCTTTGGGTGATTTTAATCAAGTTCTAAGCCCAGTAGAGCATTCTAGGCCTATCACGCTTAATGTCGACAGAAGGACGAGAGAGTTCAGAGACTGTCTACTTAGTGCCGATTTGTCTGATCTTACTTTCAGAGGAAATTCTTTTACGTGGTGGAATAAATCTAAGACGAGGCATGTTGCAAAGAATTTGGATAGGATTTTGGTAAACTCTCTTTGGGCTAACTCTTATCCTGACTCCTTTGCCACTTTTGGGGAACCCGACTTCTCAGATCATGCGTCTTGCGGTGTCACTTTAAGCTCTGGTTCTTTGAAAGAAAAAAGACCGTTCAAATTTTACAACTTCTTACTTCAAAACCAGAACTTTCTGCCTTTGGTGGTGGAGCAATGGTTCACGTGCAATGTGACAGGCTCAGATATGCTTAGAGTCTCGTTGAAGTTAAAGTTTCTGAAGAATTTCATAAAGTCGTTCAGCAAAGAGAATTATTCTGCTATTGAAAAACGTGTCTCTGATGCTCATGTGATCCTTCTTCAGTGTCAAAGCAGAACTCTTGCTAATCCTTCACCTGCTAATGCGTCGGAAGAGTTGGAGGCTGAAAGAATCTGGCACTTGCTCCAAAAGGCTGAGGAGGCTTTTTTAATTCAAAGATCAAGCATCTCTTGGTTAAAGGAAGGTGACTGCAATTCTGCATATTTCCATAGAATGGTGGCTTCGAGAAAGGCTCAAAATCATATTCACTTCCTTTTTGATACATGCGATACAAAAATTGAATCTCAAGCAGGTATCAGGAAATTGTGTGTGGACTACTTTTCTCAACTCTTGGGTGGTGAGGTTCAAATTTTTGGCCTGATTCAAAGTGATATGGACCTGTTGATCCCCTTTAGATGTTGTCAGTCCCAGCAGCAGTGCTTAGACAAGATGTTTACAAAAGATGAAATAAGAGATGCTTTTTTCTCTTTGCCCAGAAATAAAACAAGTGGCATGGATGGGTACTCTGCTGAATTCTTCATGGGTTGTTGGAGTGTTGTAGGTCATGAAGTTACTGAGGCGGTGTTGGAATTCTTTCGATCTGGCAAAATGCTTAAGCAGTGGAACGCCACCTCTCTGGTTCTGATTCCCAAATATCCTAATGCTGCAAGAACGACAGATTTCAGACCTATCTCCTGTTTAAACACAGTGTACAAGGTCATATCAAAGCTCTTAGCTTCAAGACTGCAAATGTTGCTTCCTCATGTTATCTCTCCCTCCCAATCGGCTTTCTTGCCTGGAAGACTTTTGGCTGAGAATGTTTTACTTGCAACTGAGGTTGTCCAGGGATACAACAGAAGGTCTGTTTCACCGCGCGCCATGTTAAAAGTCGACATAAGGAAAGCTTTTGACTCGGTAAACTGGGATTTTATCATCACCGCCCTAAGAGCCATAAGAGTCCCTGAAATTTTTGTATGCTGGATTTCAGAATGTTTAACTACCCCGACCTTCTTAGTTTGTCTAAATGGCAACTCGAGTGGCTACTTTAAAAGCTCAAGGGGACTTCGGCAGGGCGATCCGCTGTCCCCTTACCTCTTTGTGTTGGCCATGGAGGTCTTTTCCAGGTTGCTTCACTCCAGATTTGATCAAGGTTACATCATGTTTCATCCTAAAACATCAGGTATCTCACTCTCTCACTTGATGTTTGCGGATGACGTCATGATATTTTTTGATGGTTCTGAAGCCTCCCTCCACGGCATAAATGAGGCTCTTGATGATTTCGCCTCATGGTCTGGGCTGCAAATGAACAGAGAAAAAACTCACCTCTTCCACGCTGGGCTCAACGTCCTCCAATCTAATGCAATTGCGAGACATGGATTCCCTACAGCTTCTCTTCCTATTCGTTACCTTGGTTTGCCGCTCATGCATAGAAAGCTAAAAATTTCAGAATATGATCCTCTCTTGGATAAAATTGCGGGTAAATTCAAGGGATGGGCTACTAAAACCTTATCTTTCGCAGGAAGGACTCAATTGATTACTTCTGTCATTTATGGAGTGGTTAACTTCTGGATTTCAAGTTTTATCCTCCCTAAAGGCTGCATTAAAAAGATTGAATCACTATGCTCTAGATTCTTGTGGGCTGGGAACATTGATGGCAGCAAGGGTGCAAAAGTGGCATGGGCTATTGTCTGTTTGCCCAAAAAAGAGGGTGGTTTGGGGCTAAGAAGGTTCACCGATTGGAACAAAACCCTTTGCTTAAGATTTATCTGGACTTTATTTTCAGGAAAAGATTCACTATGGGCTAGTTGGCATAAGTTTCATAATATCAGATCAAATAGCTTTTGGGAGCTGAGAGAATCCAGTCGTGATTCCTGGACATGGAAAGAAATATTGCGGTTGAGACCGGTAGCTGAGCAGTTTGTCAATGCAGCCCTGGGAGATGGAAACACTATCAGTTTCTGGTATGATTCTTGGACGCCTCTTGGACCCCTTATTAAGTGCCTGGGATCCGAAGGCCCCTCGTTGTTAAGGCTTCCATTAAAAGCAAAGGTTATTGATGCTTGCAACGGTTCTCTATGGACCATCCCTTCTCCAAGGTCAGACGCGGCTTTGAGACTACATGCGCATTTAACCACAGTCCAGGTTCCAAGCGGTTCTGTTACTCAAGATGAGTATTTTTGGGTCGTTGATGGAGTTAAAAGCAAGAGATTTACTACCTCCAGAACCTGGAATGTTGTAAGGCCGAGAAAGCAAGAGGTTGATTGGTGCTCTGCGGTTTGGTTTAAAGGAGCAGTTCCTAGGCAAGCTTTCAATATGTGGATTTCCCACTTAAATAGACTTCCAACAAATCAGAGGATGTTCTCCTGGGGCATCATCCCTTCGCCTAGTTGTACTTTCTGTTCTTTGCAGGGTGAATCAAGGGATCACCTTCTCATCACTTGCGCATTCTCATCGGAAATCTGGAGACTGGTTCTCGAGAGAATTGACCCGCTCAGGCCTATTTTCCTTTCATGGGCAGAACTTCTCTCCTGGCTTCGGGCTTCCTCTAATGCGGCTCCATCTATCTTGAGGAAAATTTCTGCGCAAGCAACGGTCTACCATTTATGGAAGCAACGGAACAAAGTGGTTCATAATCAGGTCTCTCTCCCTCCGGGCTCTATCTTCAATCTTATAAACAGGGAGATCCGTAACATTATCTCAGCGCGCCGTCACCGGAAACGTTTTCGTGACTTGATGCAGCTCTGGATATCCTAAAGTCCAATTTCTGTGACTTCCCAATTTGGAAAATCTTGTTTTATCTTTTTGCCAAGGTTTCCAAAGCCAAAGGCTTCTCTTATAAAAGCCAAACAGTTTCATTTCTTCTAATGATATTAACAGTTTAGCAAAAAAAAAAAAAAAAAAAAAAAAAAAAAGGAAAAAATTGTTATACTTGATAGAAAAACATAATATATATGGAGTATTAAATTTTGCCATTTTGGTGTTCGTTGAGACATCGAAGTTCTTTTTTTTTTACTTTTTTTCTTTTACCAATTTGAACTACGAAATATCCATACAAGTAGGATTATAAAAAAAACCCATAACGTAAAATATAAAGAGATGTGAAAAATATATTCATTATGAATTTGCGGATCTTTATTATGATCTTAAGTACACACTATGTTTAGCAAAAGGGTTAAGTCCCTTGGTTACCAATAATATAGGAACCGTGGAGATCACGGATTCGATTCACGTTGGAAGGGGTTTCCTTGCCAAATAAAAGATATTACATGGTTTGGTTTCGTCCTGGAAGATGTACGGGCCCAGTGCCGGCTCAGATGGGTGGGCGGGTGGTGCGACGGCCATGGGTCCAATCCCATAGTCCAATAATTAAGGGGCCCATTTTCTAAAATATTTTTTAAAAAATATTTAAAAATTAGATTATAACATAAAATAAAATTTAGAAAGGTCTATAAAATTTTTTATTTATTTTTTTTAGTATTAGTAATTAATATTTTTAACAAAAATAGCATAGAAAATTTTTTTACAGCAAAAAAACATTAAAAAAATTTTCTAAGAGTCCAAATTTTTTTTTTTTTTTTTGCTCTAGGGCCCATAAAAATGTTGAGCCGCACTGTACAGGCCTACGGGCTCAGGACCTCCTAATCATAAAAAATATAATATTATCCAAGCACATGGATGTTCATATAATCAGAGACTTGGTAGCACAATTTCACGTCAATTTTTTTTTTTTTTTTTAAGATTCACACTTCTATGAAAGTTTGATAAAATTAAAACAAGTGTTAATTACCAGCAAATTCGAACACGCTAAAAATTCTGAAAAAACGTATAAGAACAATGAGGAAGTGGAAGCCCCCTTGGCCCATTAGTTGACTAAGTGTTAATTAATGCTTCTACACCAAGATGTCTGGGTTTCGAGTCCCAGGTATTGCTATTTATTAATAAATTTGCAGATTAAAAGAGGCAAGTGTGCAGGAGATCTCCAGCGAAGTACAATTATAGCCGTTCGCCAGGATTCTACGCAGAGAGAGAAGTGTCGTCAGGTCGTGGATCATTGAAGGTGTCCGTCAAGAGCATGGAGAAGGAAGGGTCGTCTGTCGTGGATCTAATAAGGGTCGGAAGGAATTGTCCGTTGTAGAATCGTCTATGTAACAGTTCTCATAATTTGTAATAAATAATAAATCTAGACGTCAAAAAAAAAAAAAAACAATGAGGAAATAGAGAATCTTTATTGTGGGAAGATCACTATGAAGGAAATAAGAATATAGTACATGCATGCAATTGAAAGCCGAAACCAAAGTGAATTGGATCTCGGTTTAGTCTTTGTTTAGGAAGTCGAATTCATGTTACCTCATGTTAAAGTTATGGTTCAGTTCTTAAATTGGGCCTTAGTTCTTTTAAGGCCCAGTGACATCGGTTGACGAGCACTCTAGTTTTGCTTCAATGAGCTTGGAAGAGAGTAAACGGAGATGTAGAGAAAATACGAGATTTATGCGCTCGAATCATTTTCTTCCTGAGTGATGATTTGTATCATCGTATCGGTTCCTTGAGAGAAAATGACAACGTACCCTACCATTTAATCTTGTAGAAATCTTATAAATTTAATCACTTAGTCTCATGTAGTAATGGTTTCAAACAAAATTTTGCTTGTTCCTAAAATTAAAATTCAAAATGTTAACATGTTTTTAAATAGAAAACATTTTTGGTTTTTAAAATGTTTTTGTATTTAGTAAAATAAAGTTTTTTGTTTTTGTTTTTTGTCTAACGGATATAAAGTTTTACTTCTCATTTGGTGTAGCGGAGGAAGCAATAATAGAATAGGTTTGGCATGTGCAGATTTACTTGCAAAGAAAGCAGCTACTGGACTAAGTTTGTGGAATTTGTATCATTCATGTCCCCCCTTTTTAATGTCTCTTGTAAACTCTGAATGCGTTTAACGTTCATCAATAAAGCAATTAGAAGGAAAAAAAAATATAGAATAGGTTTGGGAATACTCTTCCCCGTGCTCGAAAGCTCGCTTATAAAAGAGAAACTTCTCAACCTTATTAATCAAATCAATATCAATAATAACTGTCCAATACAAAAGATGTAAGAAGCCTATTTATATGAAAACATGAAAACTTGATAAACTTTAAAATAATCTTATAATTATCTATAATAATTAAAAATAGATGTAAAAGATAATGATGAAAGATATATCCAAATATCTCGCTCTAGCAGGTCTCGCCAGTCAAGAAAGATTCGTCTTTGCTGCATCATCATTTAACAAATGAAGTTTGATTATCAAGTCTTTGACATCATTTCGAAAAAGATGGATGGTAAATATAAATTTATACGCAATAAAAAAAAAAAAATATAGAAGAGTCTTGTTACTACTTGGATTTACACGATGTGCTTCTTTTACTTATTTGTCATACGAAAACATTTCGGTAATAAGTTTGTCTTTCACCAACACAGAAATAAAAATTGTACATAGAAAAAAAAACAAAGTCTATAACTCGTAATTCATAAAGCCTATGCATTACCTCTGTTGTTTTAAAGGGTAGAAGTAGGACTCTTTCCCGCTGGGATCCAATGGTTGGAGCGCAGATCAATGATATTCCGAATCATAAATTTTATACGCATACTCATTTGAGGACGAGGTGAGAGACTCTCTAAACGTCTGAAATACACATCGTTAACCAGTTTTGAGCTCGTCAAGCTTAAGGATGATTCGACAGATTCCGAACCATCAAGCTTTTTGCCGACAGTCTTGAGAAAGAGACAGACAGCTTCAAGGTTTTCCTCTGATGGACACATTTTCTCATCATCCCCCAGAAGTTTCTGTATAATAAAAGTTCAATTACAAACACTAAAAAGTGTTAGCAATGTTGTATATTTCAACTACCCTTTTTTTTTTTATCAAAATAAAAATGCGTAAGGGATGTAGTCCCCTCGGACCGGGAATCATAGCAGGTTAATTAGTCATCTGCCTTGCAGCAATAAGAAAAAGTGTTACTTAACCTGAACAATGTGGTGAACAATCTTTCCTCGAATCTTCCGCTTTAAAAATAGCTCACCACACAAACGAAGATTTCCTAGAGTTCGGAGTTTCGACAACCTTTCCGTGTCTCTCCGTTCTTCCTCCTGATCTGGCGCGTTCATCTTTCTAATCTCATTACTTAACTCATCAGTTCCCTCAAACACATTTTGAATTGTATTTAGCAAAACCCTCTTGAATGTGATTTTACTAGATGGAAAAGTCGGCATTTTGTCACAGATATCGCAGCATAATTGAGCGTACATCGGGCAAAAGGTCGGCTCAAGGATGGCTTTGTCGAAAATAAGGGTTGTCACACTCTAAAGAGAAAGAAAAGGACACAAATTAGCCATATTGACGTACCTAAAGATAAATAACGCAAAGAGAAGAAACTCAACACTTCTTAGGTTCTTGGATACTCAACAAAAAAGGAAGAAAAATATTTCTTCATTTTAATACTTAGATCATAGATCAAATCAATGTGTTAATAAAACGCATAACTAAAAGACCATATTCATAACAAATCATAGTAAACTCCCAAACCATGAAACCCTAATCCTAATCAGAAAACCAAAATCAAAACCAAAATTCATGAAACCTAAATCGATTTTCTATTAAACATTTAATATTAATGAGTTTTGTTTTTCCAAAGCCGAACTGAATTCAATATAGAACTTTGTGTGTTAGTTGTTAAGATAAGGGCATGTACCTTTAAGATATCAGATGTAATGCAAGATCTGGTAAGGTGGCTAATGAGAGCAAGATATTTCTGTTCTGCTGTCTGGTCCATTGTCCTGGACAAGCAAAGTATAAAAATCTAAAGATTTGATGTTTGGAAGGTAAATAATGGCTATTTTGAGAAATCAAATGTCAATTTATATTCTACAAAAAGAAAAGTAGCAGATAGAGGAATAAAATTACCAGCTTTTTTCTTCCAAAGCCAGTGCTTTGCATGTTATCCAATCTTGCAACAATACTACAGATCGGAAACAAACCAACTTAGCATCTTCCATGTTTTTTTCCGTCATCTAGTATAATCTGTTGAGATTGAATCCTTGGATTGTCCCTGCAAAAGAGAAAGATACTATGAGTGACGCTAAGAAGAAAAACAAAGAAGCTTCAGAGGAAACAAAGGTTTGTGCTTGAGAAGAAGAAGATGAGTTGTCGAAGAAAAAGAAGAGACAAGAAAGTCAAGAGAAGTTGTGTTTTGTCGTGAGACAAAGAGTAATGGGTTGGAGTTAAGCCCATTAAGGATTTTAGCAAAAAAAAAGCCCACTAAGGTTTATGTTTCGGTAAAGAGAAACAAACAAGAACAAGATAGTAATAAAGAGAGAATGAGAGATCAATGTTCGCATCGTGCATCATCATCCTCAGAGATCCTAAGAGGAGGATGGTGCTGATCTCTAAAAAGGTGAGAGGTCAGAAATGCAACATGGAGCAAAAGCTTGAATAATCTAAAATACTTAAGAAATAAATAGCCAAAGCATGGTGGAAACCAAAATTGATATTATATGCAAACTAAATGTCTTATTAAAGTAAATACTAGAGTTGGTTTTGCTAACTTAACATGAGGGTCAGGTAACATGTAATCGATTTTCTAAACCAACCTTAAACCGAGAACCTTAATACTTTTTTATCATAAGCCTAGCTAAGAGTGTTGACAAAAGGGATTAACCATATGATTCCTTAAACTATCACTACAATAAATAATAATATAAATTAACATCAAACCTAATAAATAAATTTAAAAATATAGGAGTAGGTGGATTAGTTATAAAACTTATGTGTTTGTTACTAAAAATCTTTAGACTATCTTCTCCCTTAGTTAAGAAAACTTTCTTTGGTAGGTATATATTGTTATCATCATCATCACTTCAAAATCAGTCGAGTTTCATATTATTTAATCAACGCTAAATCAATAATAAAAACATTTGAGGTGATATAGGTCGTGCTATTACGTAGTGAGCTCACGTTCAAGTTGTTGAGAACTTTGTGTTTTAGCCTCTAATCTCTATGTTTGAGAAAAAACAAAAGTTTGATGATCTTTTTTTTTTTTTTTTTGATCTCACGTGCTTTAAGTGTATAGAGATAACCAAAGAAATAAAATAATTGTGAACTTCGTTATAAACTATTTATATCGTTAATGTACTTAAAAAGAAGAAAATGTCATACTTGATAGAAAAACATAGTAATATATTAAATTTTGCCATTTTGGTGTCTCTCTGAAACATATAAATTCCTTTTTTTTTTTTTACTTTTTCCTTTTACCATTTTCAACTATTAAAATATCCATACAAGTAGGTTTACAAAAAAAAAAAAAAAAAAAAAAAAAAAAAAAAAAAAAAATATCCATACAAGTAGGATTATATAAACTCATAATGTGAAATATAAATGTGTAAAGATATTCACTATGAATTTTCGGATCTTTATTATGATCTTAAGTACACTATGTTTAGCAAAAATAACGTTCATAATATAACCAAGCACATGAACGTTCATTTAATCAGAGACTTGGTAACAGAATTTGACGTCAATTGTTTTTTGGATTGTCACGTTTTTGATATACTCAATGAGCATCTTTTTCTTCTTTGCCTCAGAATAAATTCCGATTTTTTTCTTTCACCAACAACAAAACAACTTGAACATAGCAACAAAACAAAGTCTAAACCTCGTACCTCAGAAAGCTTATAAAGGCAAAGTTTAATCGAATACTATGTTTTCACGGGTAGTAGAGTAGAATAACTCTTTCGCGCTGGAAGCCCAGTGGTTGGAGACTTGGTAATACAGTAAACTCACAGAATCAAAAAGAACAATTCCTCTTCTCTGACTAACAATCCAAAATCCAAACAATCGATCCGATGTTCATAGAAAACACCAAAACGATAACGAGCTAGCTCTCAAGATGAGAGAAACCTAGCATTTACAAGAATTCTGGAAACCGCGCATCCTCAAGTAGCAGCTGCTTCTAACGGCCTTCTCTTCATCGCCCAATCAGCCTTTGCCACACGTTGATTCTAGATTATTCTTATTTCCACTTGACTTTGCAAGTGCGAGACACACGTGTGGTTCTGCTGTAGCACTTGGAGTGCAAATGGATCATATTCTGAACCATAAATCGCATGCTTATAACCAATTGAGGATGATTTGACAGATTCTCTAAACGTCTGAAAATCTCGTTCATCTGTTTTGAGTTCAACCTTGATTCATATAGCTTTTTGCTAACAGTGTTGAGAAAGAGACAAATAGCTACAATTTGTCCCTCTGATGGACCCATTTTCTCAGCATCCTCCAAAAGCTTCTGTATGAAAAAGGTAATTAAATTCAATTAAACACATTAAACCAAGTGTTAGGCATGTAGCTAGACTACTAGAAGATGTTACTTAACCTGAACAATGTTGAAAACAATATTTTCTATCATCAGCTTCCGCGTTAGAAAAAGCTCACCAACCAAACGAAGATTTCCTAGAGTCCGGAGGTTCGACAGTTTTACTTTGTCTTCCCGTTCTGCCTTCTGATCTAGCGCATTCATGTTTCTAATCTCCTCACTCAACTCGTCTGTTCCCTCAAACACATTTTGACATGTATTCAGCAAAACCTTTCGAAATGAGATCTCACCAGTCATAGGCTCTGAAGGTGGAAAACTAGGCATTTTGTCGTGGATATCACAACACAATTGAGCGTACATAGGACAAAAGGTCTCAAGGACAGCTTTGTCGACAATAAGGGATGTCACACGCTGTAGTGAAAGAAAAAGACACAAATCAGCCTTATTGACAAAACTGAAGATAGATAAATAATAACGCAAAGATAAGAAACCAATTCTTCTTAAGTTCGTTGGATTTTGTCAAAACAAATCAAAGTGTTAAATATATAATAAAATTTTTAACTTACACACCTTTTTTTTTTTTTTTAATACCAGGAGGTTCTAGGCCAAAACCCGTAATCCCCCCAGACCCGAAACCACAACATGTAATATTAGTTTCGTCCTTTTTAACATGTAAACCAAGAAAAACTTGGTGTTAGTTAGCTCAGACTCTTTTCCTGTAGCCAAAACCCCGACACAAATTGATTTACGTAGATCTAAAATATATGTAGTATAAACAAATATAACTTTTAGCAAAAACAAACTACAAATATACATAATTAATTTAAATTAGAGTTAAACAATATATGCCTTATTATGGTAGAGCATGCACCTTTAAGATATCAGATGTAGTGCAGGAGCTGATAAGATGGCTCATGAGACGTCCATATTTCTCTTCGGCTATCTGGTTCGTTATACTGCCCAAGAAAAGTATAAAAATTGACAAATCAAAAGATTTTATGTTTGAGAAGTTAAATAACATAAGGTTCGATGCTAATTTAACTGAGAATTAAAAAGTCTATTTATCAAAATATGTTACAAAAAAATGTAGCGGATAGAGGAATAAAATTACCAGCTTTTTTCTTCCAAAGCCAGTGCTTTGAATGTGATCCAATCTTGCAACAATACTGTAGATCGGGAACAAACCAACTTAGCATCTTCCATGGTTTTTTCTGTCATCTATAGTTGTGATATGTTTTGGATACAAATGACTTAGAATAGTCTAAAATATATAAGAAAGGAATGGCCAAAGCATGGTGGAAACGTGTCCAAAATTGATAATGGGTGAATATTCCCCATGCGTCAATGTTTATAACAAATCGAACCTAGAAAACTGAATCGTCGGCGACCGAAATTTATTGTTTTGTTTTTATTTAAGACTAGTTGAACATTGTAATTACAAGAGATAATGATATTATATGCGAATGTCTTAACTCTTAAATGAATACTATTAGAGTTGTTGGTTTAGTTCGCCATGTTTTTTATGGCTTAACTTAACATGAGGGTCAGCTGGTATGAGGTAACATGTATTTTTATTTTTATTTTTCTTGTAGCGAATGTTAATATCATCATAATTTGAAAATGTTTGGTTTTACAATGTAAATAGACTATGGCTTTGAATCCTTGGCAAAAAAAAACAAAAGAAAAACAAGAAGTCAACTAAAAAGTCACTTGTTATGAGTTCAAGTTATTCAGAGTTGCATCAGGTTGCAAAAAGTTTTTTTGTGTCTTCTTGCAGTGATTCTGTTGTGAATCTCTCTGTAAAACATAATTTAAGTATACGTTGGACCTATCAAAAGAAAATGAGAGCTTTTGAGAGACCAATGATCAATAAGTAAATGAGAGACCAATGATCAATAAGTATCATAAAAATTAATTAGCCTAAATACGTGTATATCAAATCATAACATCACGTAGATGCAATATACAATCAAAAAACTAGTGAAAGAAAATGAAGAATTGTAAACTTTGGAACGAGAGAGGGTTATGATACTTAAAACAAGTGTGGACTACTAGGCATTTACAGGAACAGAGGAGGAAGAAAATGGTGAGCTTATGGATGAGACACAGCCTTTAAGGCGATCAAGAATCGCGTTCTTTGTCTTCGTTAGGCTTGCGTGTGACGTCAAAGGCAGTCCTTCTTTGACACACTCGTCGTACTTCTCTAGCACAGCCACTATATTTGAGAAGTCTGGCCGCTTCGACGGATTCTCTGACCAACACCTCTTGATTAGGTGAGCTAGCGCGGGTTGACAGCTCGCCGGCAATGGTGGTCTCTCGTTCTGCCCATTAAAAAATGACCGAAAAATTCAATAACTTGTACCTCAAGAAACAAATACAACAATCTTTAATGTTAATCAAAAACGCTACTTCGCTGTGCTAAATAAGATGAATGGAGACTGACCTTTTCAGCTACTGCGAATGCGGCTTGCACGGGAGTCATGCCTTGGAACGGAAGTAATGCAGTGGTGAGTTCCCATAGAACGATGCCAAAGCTATAAACATCGACTTTTCTAGTATAAGGCTTCTCTTTGATCATCTCTGGAGCCATCCATCTATAAGTTCCCATGTTGCCCTTGGCCTCTCTGCATTGGGTCTCAAGACAAGAAGTCCCAAAGTCTGCAACTTTAACTCTCATCTCATCATTCAAAAGCAAATTGTTGGACTTTAGGTCTCTGTGGATAACACCCTGCGAGTGAAGATACTCCATTCCTCTTGAGATGTCTAGAGCCAGTCTAAGTACGGTCTCGATAGAGAGCGAGTAAGGCTCTTTCTTGTTTAGGTACATTCGGAGGTTTCCTTGTGACATGTACTCTGTTATGATGCAGTATACGGGCGGTTTCTTGCACGCCGCAATGAACTATACATCAAAATAAAGGATAACATTAGCAACAATTGAAGCCTTGGTTCTAACGACAAGATCTTTGCTCTGTTTTTGTTTTCTCCCACAAAGATTTCTTAACAAGGTAAGGTTTAGAATTTGATAAGAAGATAAATAATACAGACCTGAACGATGTTAGGGTGAAAGAGACGAGAAAGCAGAGCAACCTCGGACTTAAACTGTTGTTCGAGCTTAGCCCTTGTCTCTTCCTTGTGTGTTGGGATCCTCACCATCTTCACGGCAACGGCCCTTTGTTTGTAGATCCCTCTGTATATTCGAGAGTGTGCTCCGGAAGCAAATTTGTTTCCGATAAATAGCTGCGAAAGATCTGCAGTCCATTCCTCTCTTTCTCCTTTAGACGCTTCCCATGCCTCCACGTTCTCGGACTCAAGGATCATCGACCAAGATTCCATACTGTCGAATCTCTTCTTCTCCATCGTCTCTGCTTCTGCATACCGGTTGGTTTTGGAGGAAGACGGGTTAGATGGTAAAGGTGGGAGGGAAGGTTCTGGAGGTAGTTTGGATCTTAGAGACCAACGTAGATGAAACGGATTGAAACATAAACCAGACATAGTGATCAATAAAGAGTTTTGCTTGGTTTACAAGGTAGGGTTTGAAAGCAGAGAATCTAGGGTTAAAGATGTGTTAAACTAGGTTTTTCCTTCTGAAAGTATGAATAGATTTCAGGAAGTGCATGAACTGATTCAAAAACATGGGTTCGATAGGATCTCCCGAGAATCTAGCCGTCGTTTCATTAATTTTCTCGGGAAAACAAAACAGAATCAGGAAAAAGAAAAAAATCCAACAAAGAAAATTTGAAACAGAAGAGACTTGTGTCAAAAGGAAGAGACTTTCACAGGAAGGAAGCAGAAACAGAGAAGGAAACAAATGGATTTCATCTTCTTCTTTTTACCTAGTTGAACAATGATGAAACTTTCCGGGAAAACTAACAAAGAGGAGCTGAAATTTTCCGGGGAAAAAAAAGGACACGAGAAGAAAGAAAAGCACCAGAAAGTTTTGGATACAAGTTGGGTTTTGGAAGTTAAAGAAGAAACCAAGTGAATAAGGGAACGGATCCAAAGTAAGAGATTTTCAAAGGTTTCTCGTGATTGCTTGGTTCAAAAGTTAGCCTTTTGAGAAGTAAAGAGTTATAAATCTATTTATATATTTTCTCTTGAGACCAAATGAAATCGTGTTCGGTTCGTGTTTACAAGTCTTTTTATAATTCGAACTGAATTAACGAGTCGCCAAGTTACCGACTTAAATTGCTTCATATCATTGGTTCGATTGATGATGATAAATATATAATAAAACTGTATTTATTTAAAGAAAATTATGGATTAGATTATTTTCGATAAAATTACGGTTGTGTATACAAATATTCCTCTTGAGCCTAATCTTATCCTAGTAGGCTAGTATTATAGAAATAGACTTCAAAATAGCTCAAAGATTTTTTTATTAATCTAGAAGATCACATTGTTTTCAACTTGGCAAAAACCATTAGCCAACTGCTAACAATATTTGTTTTCCAAATCAAATTTATCTGACCTCTTTTTCTATTTTAATTTTAATGTTGTTCAATATATTGATAAACTGTTTTAGGTTTTTTTACCAAAAGTAGTGGTTTAGTGGTACTACAAGGGGTTGGTTTTTTTGTATTCCGAGTTTAATTTTTATCTGAGACGGTAAAACATTCTTTAAAATAGGAATGAACTAAAGGTTGGTTGGACTACTACTGAAAAAGATTACGGGATAAAGGTTTAAAACTCCTACGATTTAACCAAAAAAGAAAAAAAAAATCTTATTTCAACTATGTTCCATACATATAACACTAATAATAAATAACAAAATTATAGATATACTTGGAACTCAAAAGAGATTTGATTACGTCGTAATAATAAACCAAATCCAAATCACATACTTATCAGTTTCACAATATATAATATTTATTGGCCTTGTTTCTTTTCGAAGTCGCTAGTGACAACTCTGGCGATTGAAAATTACATTTATTTTCTCCTTCTTTGTGTCGCTGGGTTTTTGATGTGAGATCATTTCTTCCTCAACATTCTCCATGATAGGTATCCCAGATATCGCTAAATTTTGTAGCGTCCATTATATCCGACGCGGCGACTCAATTGCTTTTCGTTTCTCATCGTCTTTCACTTATAACTTGTCGCTGGTTTTAGATCCAATTAAAAATTAAGTTGTTTTTTCAGTCGCACATTAATGTCGCCAGCGACATAGAAAAGAACAAGGCTATTATATATTTTCATAAAAGTTTTCACGGTCATTGTTGGACCAGTTTTATTATAGTACGGACCAGATCATATCATATTTGGAGTTAGGAAAACATTGATTTGATCATAAGAATTTAGGTCAGAGAAAAACTTGTGGCATAAAAATCACTTTCCGAATGATATAAAGACATGCATATGACAAATTAATATTTCAACAATATTTCCTTACCTCGAATATAAAAAATAAAAAAAACCAAAGTCTCCAATATATTAAATTAAGTTAGAAGCAATATACGATTTGCAGTTTCTAGTCTCTGCAACATTTTTTCCTTCAAATATGATTAAAAATGACAAAAACTGTCATAGACTCTCTTTCTGGCTAGTGGCTGATATCAGTAGAACTTAATTAATAAACTGTTACATACAAAAAGTATATTCTGAAAAAACGTTGACAAAGTATATTATAATTACTTTTACTTTGTATTCTAATGGATGGAGATGAGTTTTGGCAATGTGTAGAAAGCGAAATATTTACACTATTTAGAGACAACATTTGTGAACAATCCGTGAGTGAGGCAATTCGATGCCTTGTCGTACTAAATTATTTAATTTTACAGATGCAACATGTTTTCCCAAAAAAATAAACTTAAAAATAAGCATGTTTTACCAAGTGGATTTATACACGTGGCAATCCAACAACGGAACCACGTGGAAGCTGTAGAATCTTGTTCCGTTATTCGTTGACCACTTGTAAAAAATTGGGCAGTATCTTCTTATCCTAATAACTTTTCTATTTGGCCCGTTAGAAATTTAATTTAATAAAATATAAGAACAGGCCCACGAGCTAGACATTCTATTTTTTAGTTTTGAGAAATGCAAAAAAATAATATAATTTTGGTAATTTAAAAAGATAAGAGAAAATAACTTTTTCAACAAAAAAGAAGTTGGGGAAAGGACTATATCAAGGAACAAATCCATCTATTTGATATTTTTTTTTTCCATAATAATATAGTAAAATGGTCATCGTTTTATATAAAAAAATTTGACTGAATATTTGCGATTTGTGTTTAAAGATCTTGGAGACCACTACT